ACCAACCACCCACCATCGCCCGCCACCGAAAAAGGCACCCGCTGACAGCAATTACAGGCCATGTTTTCGGTTCTTTGTTACTGTGTTACTGTTTTCATGTCATATAACAACGTTGGGCAATAAATCAAAAGTTGCCAACATGAAATCATTGTTTATGCTGCCTATAGTTAGTATACATACTATACGCTTAGCCACATTTTAACCGAGTGATTTGTGGCTAATTTATTTATAGCGGAGCTCACAACAGCTAACAGCCAACAGCCAATAGCCAACACTTTGCCAAACAAAGTCAACTTATGACAATGAACAATAAACGCCAACAGCAAAGGGAAACACACTATAACTATAAAATATTGTGACGTGGCACTCGACTATGTGAAATGGAGCACAAGGCCGTCGAGTCAAACAATGGCTGACAAAGGAGGCCGAGACCGTCAACAAATAGTCACAGGCAGTCCCAGTTCTTCGTTCTTGGTTTGCCTCGGTTCTCGTATGTGGCGCCACAATGCACTACTCCCCACCTCTCCCAGACATACAGCATTGCCGATGGCTATATGCGAGTATCCATATAAAGATTCCCTTTTTTTTTAGCCCCCCAAAGGGTTTTTTATTTTGAAGACCCGCACACAATGCAGAAAGTTGCAGTTGCAGAGAGGGAAAATCTTGTAAGTAAGTTGGGAAAGAAGGGAACATTTATTCAGAAATCTAATTCAGTAAGCGAAATAAACAAGAATTATTATGAATTTCCTTTCAGTGTTCTTCCAATACTACTTAATTTCTGATTTTCGCCAGTGTGGCATATCTGTAAAATTCTTGGCTCGATGTGTAAGATGGCTTCCCACCTAGCTGCCTGGCTGCCAGGTTGCATTCAATCCATACCCTCCACAAGCCCCGAGGAAAGAACACACAAAAAGCCCGGAGAACAGCAACTCCCCTGACATGTTGGTCACATGTCAAACGCTTCGATTTTTTTTCCCCTTTTACCCTCTTTCGATGGAAAAACTTTCAGCCCAAAGTGGGCGTAGCAGAAGGCAGGTGGCGATGTGACATCCCTGCCAGATTGACATTGCCTGTTCTCCCAATAGATCAATGTGTGTTGGTATGAGAAGATTGCATTGTAGTCCTTGCACCTGCTCGGATTTCCCTCATTTCCCACTCGTGGTCGTCGTTGAAATGTTCAATGTGGAAATGTTGAGATTCCCAATCAATGGTTGGCACTATTCATTGAACATATCTCTGACACGGGTTTAGCTTCCGGCAATCGGAATAGCAATATTTGTTGGAGATACCTCTTAGATGATTTTTTATGTCTGGGTAAATATTTTGCGACCTGAATGGCTGAAATATCTACATCAAACTTTTCACTCGAATGCAGCTCATGTGTCACCGTCATCTAAGCTGGGAATCCCTTGCAAATTAACACGCTTGTCAGCGCTTTCACTCAGCTTGCGGAGATGCTCTTCAAAGGACACAGAGTGCATCACTAATTAAGTTTTTGCTGGGGAGCAGGATAATAGATGGCTTTTGCTATGATAACTTTTTGCAGGTTTTGTCTGGGAATCTGGAACAGCCATCACATTTCTTGGATTAAGTCAAATTAGTTAAAAACAACTTGAAAACTGTATCTTTCTGGTTTAAATGCTTGAAATTTGGATTTAAGACAGTCTTCTTTTAACTTTAAAGCCTTCATAACATTTACTCAGCCCATTCGAATACTTCACCTCACCCTAAAGGTAATTTCGAATTTTTATGAAAATTTTCCATTACGCTTTCAGGGCATTGGCCAGCTCGGTGTGTCCTTACGCCGCTGTTTTCCTTGTTCTATTAAGAGCTTGTCGCTCGGCTGGCGGAAAATGCATGCATTTGACGCGTTTGCTTAGCTGATTGCGGTCCTTGTGCCCTGGGGCATGAAGTGAAGAGGTGGAACCGGTTGGGGGAACCATATCTCTTGGTCACACGCACAGCGGCCAAGTCCGTAGGACTGAGAGAACAGAGGACAGACGACATGGCACAACAAAAAGCGAATTATATTTTCATATTAAACGACGTATGAGTAATCCCTCGCTCGAATGGGAAGGGGGAAGGACATGCAGGACATGGAAATGCCATCGCCACAGCTCCTGCCATCAGGAACAAACTCATCCCACCAGTAACTCCCATTTATTTATAGAGTTCTCTCGTATATAGAGTCGAGCGCTAATGTCGCTTCCAACGCTGGCAGATTGACAGGAAACGGAAAAGGCCAAAACGTAATCGAGATGTCGGGGATATCGGGGTAAATACTGACGGAAATTGTTTAAATATTCATGTTTATAAATAGCTAAGGGAAATTACAGTCTTACGGTTAGCATTTGATTTGAAAAGCATGTGCCGGCACTGAAGCTCAAGTACGAGAAGAAAATTATTCAAGCACAAGGCCAGAAATATAATTAAACATTCTGCAATTAAGATCGGGCGTGAGAAATAAAGCATTGCTATAAATATTATACTTAGAAAGGAAATAAATATTGTAAAATACTTGAAGGATCTTTAAAGATCACTTAGTTCAAGGATATTCAAGTCTCTAAGAATGCAACCGAAGTACATGCATTTTAGCATTCCTCAATTAAGCTCAAGTGTGGAAAATCGTATTGAAGTGGTGGAGATGAGCTGGGTTTCGACAGGATGTGTGTGGGTATGGCTTTTAGTTTGATAAGTAGGCAGCACACAGACAATGCAAGGCACTTAGTTAAAGGAGAGAGTGTGTGTGTGTGTTTAGTATTTAAAATTAATTGGGTACTTATGGGAGGAGGAGGGAGAATGGGAATGGGAATGGGAATGCATGTGAATGTGGGAGGACACTTACGTAAAACGGCACAAGGACCTGCTACCTGCAGCTAATTAGCCCAGGCGGACAAAAGCAATGCACGATGTTTGGACAGTCGATGATTCAGGATTCAGGACTTTCAGGATTCTGATACTGATACTGATTCTGATTCTGATTGGCATGCATTTTGGCTCACACAGACACCAATGCAAACACAAACACAGGCGCAGACACAGGCACGAATACGAATACGAATACAGGCGACAGCGACATAATGGTGTGCGTGTTTGTGTGCGGACACTCAAGCACACAAGCACAAATGGCGGTTCGCGTAGACAAACATGACGTAAACCCAAAAAAGTATGCTACAAACTTGGTTCGCCTTTCGCTTACGATTTGGACTCTTATTATATCCGTTCATTTGGGGGTTATCTTTTTTTCGTTTTTAATTCTTTTATCGTTTAGTTAGTTTATATTTTCTTTTTGATTACAATTTCGCTGACATTCCAGTTTCCTCGGAAATTCAATTCTGCAAAAGGAAACATCAAAGAACAAACATTTTAATTGGCATCAAATGTTTCGTTGTAGGAGGGCGTTAGCGCCGTCGGCTTGTCACTCCGACTCAATGGCGACATCAAGGCCATTAGGCCAAGTCAACTACTAACAACACTAACAAACTGTGTCACATACAGGCACTGGAATTAAATGAGGAAATCGAAAATACTCCGTTTAATGATTAAATCTACGAGTAGTATTTGCAACTTCACTGGATTACACAACACTGCAACTTCTGCTTGGCTGACTTGGCTAAAATCAAGCGAAAACAACACTAACACTTTCTAGCATTGGCTATAATATTAAGGCATTTGTTGTTGGTACCACTTTCAACGCTCTTCACTCGCCCAGTGTCCTTTTTTTTTGTTCCGAACTCGCGACTAGAATGCTCGAAAGCCGAGGACGGACTGAAGGAACTCCGTCTAAGGACTCGTTGGTGCGAGCCTCCTTTCGTTTTCATTCGGCTCTTCGAGTGATTTTCACTTGGCATTCGGCTGGTTGAGTGGGTTTCTGGTATTACCATGACTGCCTTTATGGCTGAATTGTTGCTTTGCCTTCCTGTCGTTTGCCGCTTGCATTTTTTCCGCGCTTATTTTTCGTTTCGTTCTGTTTTTTATATCCCTTTTGGATTTTCAGTTTTTGTGCGACGTGATTCATTTCCGGTTTCGTACGGAAAGGACTTAAGGTGAGTCGGATGCCACAAAAAATCACTGAAATTCCCACAGACAAATTTGATTTATGCATTTGTGAAAATGTTTAAAGGAAATTCATTAAAAATAAAGTTAGAAAGAGTAAATATTTCATTTAAAAGTAGTTACATGTTTGTTTGGCTTGAAGACCGAAATAATCATCATTTCGAATTTCAAATAATAAAATTTAATCAAATCCTGCACTTTTCTAATTTTCTTTGTGTACCTTTGGTTTTATTTAAATTGGACCAAAAATCATAAAATTTGCATGCCAATTTCACGCCTTGGATAGGGGGAAACCAGATGGGGGCTTTACGGGAGGATTAACCCCTTGGGCATTGGCTGCAAATGAGTGGCTTGTTTATGAGTGGGACGCAGCTAAGCGAGCATCAAATGGCCAGAGGTGTCTGCCTTTGCTAGTATGTATGTCAGTGTGTGCGTGTTGTGTCTGTCTGGCTGTGTCTGTGTGTGTGTGTGTGTGTACACACATTGATGGCGAAAACAGATGGCTCGGGCAACCTGTTGGCTTTTGGGTATAAATTTAACCTGCCTCCGCTTTTGGTTACCTATGTATACGTTTGTGTGAAACTCTCTCTGTTTTTTTGCCGCCCTTTTCTGCCATCCTTTATGTTCGCAGCGCACCAACGGGTCGTATGCGCAATTATTGCCATAATGGCTTCACTTAAATCTTAACCCCAGTAGGCCCAAGCAAATTTAACCCTGCAATGTAAGCGGCTCACTTAAAACGACTTACTGCTCTGAGACTGAGAAATTTTTTACGAACTCAGCCTCAAGCAGACCTTGACCTTACTTACCTTTTTTTTAAATATTTAATGATTGATTTTGCCGAGAAGCTAAGCTGTCCAAGTCATAATTTTACGAAATACTTAAGTTTTTAGTATTTTTCCTACACTAACTTACAAGCTTTGGTTGTCATAGGACGAGAACTACTCAAAATCGTATTGAACAAACAAACTGAACGAAAATTTCGATATTTTGTTATAAATATTTTTTGTTGCAACGCCAGTCGTGGTCATGAGCGCCAGAGATCACCAGTATGGTTCGGTTGTGCGTGCCACAGTCGTGGCACGGTCGAATAGACCGATCGTTAACCGCATGTTGCGCTCCGCCCGTCTCGATTCCACGGTGGGTCAATTGGCCAAACCAGTTAGGGAAAAGAGGACGGAGGTGAAGCTGCAGCTAATGCAGAAGGAACGCTCCTCCAGCACTGGGATGAGTGGCTTCTCCAAGCTGTCTAGCCGCGAAGGGCTAAAAGGCAAGGCATACTGGGACGCGGCCATTCAGGATGTGGAGTTTGCAGCCGCCTGTCGCTTCCAGCCCCGCATTCCCGTCATCGATTATTCCCTTGTTCTGCCACCTCGTTTGCGGGAGAGGGTGAAACGCATACAGAACTATGACTATTCCAAGTCGGATGACGACATCTACATACGGGATGAGATGCAGGAGGTCCGGCCGGAGGACTATATGAGTGCCGAGAGTTCTGAGAAGAGCGAGGAAGAGGAGGACACTGTGGTAGGTTGGGAAAGGGAAAGATTCTTTTTTAGAAATGAAATGATTCCCGAAAATCCTTTGACATTTTAGCTTCCTAGTCGGAAGAAGGTGGAGGAGTACTTCAATGAGACCGACCATTCGGACATTGTGCGCATGGAGCACGAGTTTGAGAAGTTCGACCTGAAGCTGGATGAGCCCGTGGGACACACTCATCGCACTGTGGACAAGACCAGCTGGTACGCCAAGTTCCTTTGCGCTCCGCGGGATAAAAGGGTCAGCTGGCAGAGCCGTGTCGAACATCCTGGACAGAACTACTCCATGGTGACTCTGGACGAGCAGGCTGAGAATCTCATGGATGCGGTCAGTAAGGCTACTCTTTTGTCTTAGGAGGAAATGATCTAAAAAGTTTTAACTCCACAGTCGGCGGAACGTTTTGTGGAATGGCTCAACTCCTTTGGCACCTTGGAGAGCAATCTGACTCCGGAGAAGGTCAAAAACCTATTCTCCATCAAGGGCGATCGCACACTGTTGGCCTCGGTGAAGACAGATCCCAAGGAAGTGAATGCCATAGCCCAGACTGTGGCCGATAAATGGAACAAGCCGCATGTGAGTCTTAAAAACATGTCCCTCTATCAAAGTTATTTAAACTTCCCATTTTAGATGGCCATTGAGCTGAAGTACGAGAAGCACATCAATGACCACGCTGCTCGGGTGAATCAGAAGCCACTGCTAAGTGCCTTTGGACGCACTGTTCCGCTAAAGGATCGCCCCTGGTTGAAACGATCGAGTGATACGTCTATCAAGACCGTCTATCCGGAGGATTTGCTGACCCGCGAAAAGATCTTCAAGGGCATCACCCATCTGCGAAGCACCACTGCCCTAATTGACTTCTATCTAGCCCATCCGGAGCTGGAGCGTCCACAGTATCTGCTGCAGAGCGGCGACTTCGAGCAGTCCAGCACCAGTGAATCTGTGATTGAGGTTCCGCTTTACGAACTTCTTGGATTGCGTTATTGAGTAATCTCATTTTGGCCATGTTAAAATTTCCCTTTTTTTTTTGGAGAAATACGTACAAATCTACACTGTGAAAAATCATGAGAAAATAAATTATAATTGCTGTAATTTTAAATAGTTTTACATGACACGAAAAATTGCTCATTTTAAGTTTTATTTTTACAACGTTAACGTAGTCTGAATCCAGGGCAGATATGTGCCCACATTTACATAGACCCCAGGAACTCCTGCCTGGGCACAGCCGATGCCCCAGGCCACCAGACCTACAACATACCATATCCCATTGCTCGTGCAGACCAGTGGAGAACCCCCATCTCCTGTGCAAGCATCCTTACCAGCTTCTCCGCCGGCACAAATAAAGCTGGTGGGACTGAGGATGAAAGAAGAGCCCAGCCGTGTGGCTTGCAAGGCAGCCTGGCAATTGGCATTGGGAATCAGTGGTACATCCACTTGTCTCTCAATCGCCTGATATGCTCCAGTGGGTCCAAAGTCATTCTTACCCCACCCAGCTACCCAACATCTTTGACCCACAAAACTGGTGGTGGGCAGGCAGACGGTGCCAACGGTGGATTTGCTTGTCAGCGAAACGGGAGTGGACAACTTCAGGATGGCCACATCGTTCTGCAGATTGCTTGGATTGAATGAGGGATTCACATACACATTCGAGATGTACACATCCTGGGCAGGAATCGGTTCACTTGTGCTGGCGGCATCCCACTCACCCAGGCGAACCTTGAAGGAAGTGAGTCTAAGAGAAGTTGATGATACTGATCCTGAGGGATATTGAGACAAACTCACGCCAGGTTGTAGACTTTATGAGCAGCGGTGAGGACATGTTGTGCGGTGATCAGTGCTCCGCCGCCCAGGTAAACATCCGCAGTGGTCAGCAGGGCAGCTTGCCAAGGATATGCTCCGTAACTGGCCTGACCTGGTCCTGCAGCAGTGGCGCCGGGTGGTGGAGGAAACCTTCTGCCACACTGATAGCTTCCCGCCTGGCAGCAGGCCACCAATCCGTAATTGCAGGTCAACGTAGAAGATGTTGTAGGTACGGAGGGCTGAACAAGAGCTGCATTAATATCAACCAGATATTATCTACCTTGATGTCATCTTACATATCCTCCATTATTGACAATCCTGATGTCCAGTTGGCCACTGCCATCGCTGGATGCAGTGGGTATGGGATTAGCACAAGATCCGGGTGGAACGCACTGGCAATAGCTTGTGGTTCCAGGACTAACTATGGATGGCACTGGTGGCCAGGTGCCCGGCGAAACTTGCGGCGGCAGCAAAGTGCCCACAATCAACTGCCTGGTGAGAACTGATGGGCCATAAAATCCAGAAAACCACAATTTGCATTTCAGCTAAGTGGAGCCACTTACTCGTGTGATTGGCCGTGCTACCCACGTCGCTGGGTTGGGGCACTCGACCAGGATTCTGCCCGGCATCCGACTGAGCAGGCCCAAAGCTCCAAGCCTGCACACTAATTCCAATTCCGAGAATGAGCCACTGTAGCAGTGGCAGCCACCATATCCGACCGTACCGATTCATAGCCAATGACAACTAAATCGAGACGACGGAGCTCTGGAGGGCTATATAGCGATGGCCTGCCCATAACTCCATCTATTAAATTACTTGACGAATGGCCTCCTACGCTCAGGGATTTTCCAGACTGCATAGGGCAACAAAAAAGCAATCATAAAAACTAAATTAGGCAAAAACGAAATGAAAATTAACTACGAAGGGGGTTTACCCTTCTAATTTTTCATTTCATTAAAGTTTTTTTAGAAAAAGTTTGTCTGCTAAAGAGCTTAAAACGGAAGAAATGTTTAATAAACCAATTATGGAATATAAAATAAATACAATTTTTGGTGCTCAGCTAAGCTTTAACCCATTGTTGGCACTATAAAAGAAGAGTATTTGTGTAAAATACAAAATAAATGAAATCTAGATGCGCCGTGTTGACAACTCTCTGGTTCGATAATTTCATTCAGCTGAATGTTGCCATTGTTAACAAACAATTTTCTATCTGCCCCATATATTTAAAGCCATTAAATGTGATTATAATAACTTAATAGTTTAATTGCAAACAATCTGGAGTAGATTCATGTTTGACACTTTCCGCTTGAAAAGCAAAAGCATTTCCCTTTTCACCCCACAAAAATGTTAACAACTTGCCGCTTTAATTTGCTTAATGATTCACGCCCACAACATTCCGTTCGATCTATGTACTAATCCCCAACTAGAGCTGTTAAACTGGGCAAATGTTAAGTCCCAGATAGGAAAAGCTTTCGAGCTTTTCATATCAGGTGCGGCCAACTAACTTGTTAACTCGTTTAACTGTAACCAGTTCGTGTGGAAGAGTAAAGCGTAATGGGTCACTTGCAGTTGGATTTTCATGCCATTCCCAAGCTATATGGCCGGGAGAACTATTGGCAATGGCGCATCCTCCTGAAGACCTATCTGGAGGCCAACGATCTGTGGAAGCACAATGAACCCAAGGAGGTAGCTAACTTGATCTAAACCATTAAGTATTTATTTTTATAACTTCTTATAACTTCTTATTTTAAAGAGTCCTGAGAGTAAATTCGTGATTTTGGCCAGTGTTACAGCTGATAAAATTGAGCCACCCTACAATGAGCAAACGTGTTCCTTCATATTCCAGGATTTGGAGGGTCGATTCGGTCCTTTTAGCTAAACTTAAAATATAAAATGTTATGGAGCCAACTGGGTTCGAAATATACGAGTATTTTCCCATCGATCATTGATCTGGGGTTTTTATGGCTTATTTTGTGTTTCTTTTTCATTGCTGTCTTCGGATTTCTTGCCTCCTCCATCACCACCTCGACCTCCTTGCTTACCACCGCCATCTCCTCCACGACCTCCTTGTGTACCTCCTCCATCGCCACCACGTCCAGATCCTCCATCCTTTCCGTCTCTTGGATTTTTATTGTCTTTATTACTCTCTCCTTGACTTGGGTTTTCTTCATTTTCTGATACGCCGGCTCCACCACGACCTCCATTTTTGCCACCGCCATCACCGCCTCGACCTCCACCGCTGCCGCCGCCGCCTCCTCCTCCACCTCCACCTCCTCCCCCTCCCTTTCCACCTTTTCCGCCTGACATTTTCAGTAATTTAACTTTCTGATAAGGGAAAATAATATTTATAATATTTATTTTGTTTAGTTCCAAAATAGAACAGAAAGTTCACAAATGATTTGGCAATGAGTCTTGATCAAATTTCCTTGAATTGAAAGGCAACGCAAAATGTAAAATTAATTTATAAATATTTAAGCAACCCCTTAGATGAATTTAGTTTGATTTTCAAACAGTTAATTATTAGTTTTACGTACTAACTTGAATACCAAAATCTGATAGCCCGTTCTTGTTTCCCATATCCTTATAAACTTTCCTTTTCATTAAAAGAATTTCATTTACTAACATTTTGCATCTCTAACAATGAGATTCATTTATTCAAAGTGAATTTGGTTTTCTGTGAACAATTAACGTGCCATCTGAATGGGTTAATCTGCTTTCAAATCCTTTACAATGCATTGATCTCTGCTTAAGGGCTAGTATTACGAGTTAAGGCACTAAGTAAAGCACTACATACAGATAATTTCAATTTCAATTCGTATCGTCCAGAAAAACAACTCTTAACAAACACTACATATAAATAGACTATATGTACAAGCTAAAATGTGTGGGAGTGCTTGAACTCCTTTGTTCCGATAACGGTGATATCATCCGACGATATTCGATATTCGATATATATATATGATTCTTGACTAGCACGGTTGCACGCCTCCCGCCGGCGGCACTTGATTGGGATCATAATAGAAGACACTGGCCGTCCATGGCCTCGCAGCTCCGGCCACCATTTGTGGTTCGGCAACGGCCATTGTCTGGCAGCCACAATCCGGGCTTTTGCCCGAACCCTCCCCGGGAAACTCATTGTCCACCGCATGGGCACGAACCACTATCTGATGGGGATTGGTCACATCCACATTGGTTATCACAGCGGCTTCGTGCCGAAAACTGTATAATCTGTTCGTCAAATGCCCATCCATGTAAATCTAAAAAATATAGTTAAGGACTAAGTAAGAAATTTGATAACAAATTAGATGTTTAAATTCCCACCTCGTATCCTGATATGCCGCTACAGTCCTCCACTTTCCATCTGACATAGAGAGCGGAGCAACCCAGACTGGTAACACTCGAAATTTTAACCGGAAAGCTATCACCCGGTCCTGTCCTATTGGTTGCATCATTGGCCCTAATGTCCTATAAAACATATATATAGTTAATAGTTTTGGAAAGAATATGTTACGATGGTCACTTACCTGAGGCTTCACTTGCTTGTTGCCCAGCACACAATCCATGGCATGCATATCAACAATCATGGAGTCTATAAAGTATTTCTGGGAAAAAAATCAAAATGGAATTATAATAAAATATCAAGATTGCGATCGAGAGACTTACCATTTCGCATAGTGGATCGCACATGGCCGATCGAAGGGTATTGGAAACCGTCTTGCACTCTTCGTCACAGATGAGGGCTCGACAGTGGCAGCAGAGGCAACCCTGATCCGGTGGATTCTCCTGACACTGACTTTCATCTTCTTCAACGGGGCATTCATTCCCCTCAGGTGGGCATTCGTCGCTATCAGGACGGCATTCTTCGGGGCAGTCTTCGGGGTTTTCCGGACACTCTTCGCCTTCCGGGCACTCTTTGGGTGGGCATTCACTGCAATCGATTGGTCCATCGTCCTCCTCGCAAGAGTGCATTTCGTCACATAACCCACATTCCTGGAGAGCCTTTCGAAGGAGTTTCTCGCAAAGATTTCTCACCTCGGGTGTTAGGGGTCCATCAGGCAAAAGACCTGTACGCGGACCCCGTGATACCGGAATAGGTGGCTTCTTTTTAGCACAGGGATCTAAATTATATGGATAGGTAGCCCAGTCCGTCTCCACTTTGGTCCAAGGAGCGCATGAAACCATGCCGGCAAATGGACACTCAATCTGCTCTGGTTTTTCCTCCTCCTCAAGGGGCATCGGGTTCGTCGACCCCTCACAGATTTCCTTTAGAATTATGCTAGGGGTCTTTTGTTCCAAGTCATTGCCTTCCCTACAAGCCTCCGCCTCCATAATGTCCTGCACTTCCTTATTAATAAAGGCTTTAAGAGATTGACATAGGTCCGGCTCCCCTGTTATGTGGTCATCGCATTCACAGTCGCCTTTATTATACTCATCATCGTCTTCACAGTCCACGAAAACGTCGCCATCCAAGTCATCTCCCGAGCAGGTCAGCGAATTTCCAACGTCTAAGAAATTTTCCGTCCGACAAGGCTTGGGCTTCTCTGCAGGTGTTTGAGGACACTCGTCTTTGTCATCTGGCGGAAAGTCTGGATCCAGTTCAAAAGCATAGATATCGGTCTCTGGAACTTCAGGTTCTGGGGGTGGCAGGAAGCACTTGCGAAGATATTCCTCCAGCTGATGGAAGCACTCGACACGTCGGAGTGCTTTTTTTGACATGGGCTTCTCACCGGCTTCCTCGTCACCAGTGCGGTCATGTTGAGCCGCGCAGCATTCATCGAAGTTAGGACAAGGTGGACTTGGTTCATCGGCCGGTGCAATGGCGTTCTCTTTTTCCGATCTCAGAAGAAGCGTCATTTCCCGGAAGAGTTGTTGGATCATTGAGGTTCGAGAATCGCCGCAATCGCATTCGTAGGTGGTTAGTCTGTCCATTAACTGGAGGATGCGCTGTTTGCGAGTACAACACGACATGTCCTTCTGCCCGCAAGGATCATCTGGTGTTTGAAAGCCAGTGCCCTGATCTTCCTGATAGCACTGGCAGTTCTTAGTAACGCAGGCCGACTTAGAGGGATCATCCGGAGGAGGGTCATCGTCATCGCAAAGACAGCTACCGCCAGAGAGACTTCTATGCGTATGGAGACTGGTCTGGATGGGATCCGACAAATCGGAGGACCTATCGGAAGCATCGCAGTCACAGAACTCCTCATCATAGTCTTTCAGGCTCACTTTCCTAGAACGGAAAGAGACACTGGGATTGCATTGTGATGTCTGGTTATTGTCAAACTCGGAAAGCCCGCATGAATGCTGTATCCTGGTAGAAGGACACGGCTGGATATTGCTAGTCCCTGCGCATTCTTGGTACTCCGAATCGGCCAGTTTTGACATGTAATCTTTATTGCTCTTCTGATCTGACGCGCACAGACAGGTGATCTTGCCTACGATCGACTGGGATCTTGTTGTGGCAGAAGTCTCATAATCCACTCCAAAGGAGGGCTGACTATGTGGTGGGTTTGATTTGGTTGCCATACTGCGACAAGTAGCCTGGCTAGTCTGTGCGGCATTGCAAGAACATGAAACAGGCACTTCTTGCTGTTTATGGTGGCAGACGTCACTTTCCGGATCCTTTAGAGCGGACAACCAAGTCAACCTGCTTTGGTTCGGTTGTTTTTGGGTAGGAATACTGGTTAGGCTCTTGGATCTATTAGGCTTGGTTCTGGCAGGATCTTGCAAAGGAGCGATGGTTAAGGCGGTGCCATTGGATTGACAGGGTGCCATTGCCTTACTGTAGGATGGCCCGGAGACTAGGTTGCTTTGACCTGCCCAGTATGGAGGCTTGGAGCCACAAGTGCAGGGCTCAAGAAGCTCCTTGGTGCATTCTGTAATTGCAGTTTTGAACGAGCCACCCGGTGATGCCGCTGAGGCTCTCGCCGAGCTGGGCTTCTTTGGGCTAGACCGGTCCTTGTTATCTTGACCACATGGTTGGGCTTGAGAGCGGCACACACATGGAGTTCTTACTGGGGGTGGATCGGCGGACTTGGCTCGTTTAGGCTTGCACGAACATACCGGAACCTCATCCAGTTCTGGCTGAGATTCCGGCTTAGACTTCAGTGACTTGGGTGTGTGATGTCTTTCCAAAAAGGAGGGCTCATCTGTTTGCGAGGGCTTAGCACGTGGATCATCCATATCGGATGGCGAGGACTGGAGATTCGACGGTTTCCAGTGGTCTTTTAGGCGGGATTGCTCGGTCTGTTGGTGGCGGGAGTTGGGGTCGCTGTCGGAATGTCGCTCATCCTGCGTGTACATCAGAGCCGGGCATTCTAAGGATGAGAAGAATGGGAAACATTTCGGTTTAGTTTAAGATTTTCTAAAGGTAAAAAACCTATCGAAAATTAAAACTGAAAATGTTAAATAATATATTGTTTTGTTCTAAACTGCTGTTCTTGATTCCGATTAAGATCTAGGCACCTGGATTTTGTTCCTTGTTAGCATAGGTTTTTGGCCATGATAGAATCGACGAATCATAATCGATATACCTTTCAAAATCATCGAGTCTTAACCGCTATTTAAATCTCTCCTTCGTCTTATTAGATTCTTATTAAAATATATAAAAACGAACTGGATTTATATCCAGAAGCAGAAAACATAATAATCTAATGACTAATTGAGATGATTTAAGTGCTAAAGTATTTGCGGTTAAGGTTCGATAGGATGAACGGTCCTAACCGTTTCCGAACCGATACCGAAACCGATTCGGTTCGATTCCCCGGGTAGAACACACACGATTCGATTCGATTTGGTTCGATGGGCAAACACATTTTATTCGATTGAATGGACCGGGGGAGTGGGCCGTTCCTTGATCTCCGTCAAGCGGATCTCGCGACCCCGCGTTATATCCGGACGGGACCACATTTCGGCATGGTACAATTCCAGGAATTTTGCCTCCGCCTTTTCGCGGCACGGACAAAAGTCGAAGTAGGAGGTTTGACTGCACACCTCCCGATCTTCGTACTTGGTGAAGATAGTGCCGCGTTGGACGCAACGGCAGACTTTAACATTGACATGCTCCTGGTTCTGGGCGAAGGAGCGCTTCTTCCACGGACACATGCAGCAGCCACAGTTTCCAGGACAAAACACATTGCCATCCTCGTCCATTATAGGACTGGGATCGAAGCGACAGGGTGAACAGTTTGAGAACTCCTTGTTTTGGGGCAAGGCCAAGTAGTACCGTTTACTGCCTGTTGGCAGTTCTTTTGGCGGGTGTACCTCCTCCTTTTCCTCTGCCAATTTCTCCTCGCTGGGCACAAGCACTTCTGATTCATCCGAATCATCCGACTCTTCGGTTTGGTATTCCGGTTCTGGTGCTGGGGCTAATATTAGCAAGTGATCCGACTTGGCCACGGGCTCCTCCACCATCGGCAGTTCTTTAACTGATGGAAGTGAGGGTACCGCTGGAACTGGCTCTGGTACGGGCTCCGGAACAGGCAGGTAGCAAAGTGAGACTATCTCTCGTGCCTCCGGATCGTACCAGTGGCCACAGTTGGCCCTTGGGCAACAGTGGTAATGCGACGTTGAGTCCCCACAGCTGCCCATATAGGCCGTAATGTCGGACCCATCGGTTATGTATTGCCAATCGCATGGATGAAACTGTTTGCTGGCGGATTTACCTGTGGTGGGCCTGGGTGTCCTCGGAGCGGAATGCATCCGCTGCTGGGAGCGGCACTGGCAGATGGAGTCCTTGCGTTGCCTGCTGGGCCGCTGTTGCTTCTGCTGACAGGTGGCCATCTTGCCGCTCTGCGGATTAAACTCGAGTGGCATCTGGACCGTAACGGGTTTGCCGTGCAGTGGACAGCCGGCGCGACTCTTCTTGGGGTCAACCAATCGAGCGGTCAGCTCCAAGGTGACGGCACATGGTTGGTTCCAACCGCCGCCCTTATCGAAATTCTTGAGCAGCATCTGTGTGGCATTGGCTGCTCGTTCCAGGGCTTCTCGTATCGCTGCCGGGTCGTCGAACTTGCAACGACTGGTGGCACTGCGGTTCTCCCTCGGCGTACTCTCCGGCGAAGCATTACAGTCAAAGAAGATATCCTGCTCGCTGCGTGTCTGCTGGAAGTTTTCACCCATGAAGAGCAGTTGCGCGGATTGAAATCCTTGTGCTAGGGTCATGGAGCTCTGGTTCACGATGCGACTCCGCGAGTATTCACTTTGAACCATGCTAGGCTCGGGGTGATTGCTGGCGAGTTCCTCTTCGTCCATGACGGTTGAATTGATAGAACTGTTTTACCCAATTCAAGCTCCAGAACTCATTAAATTTTTAGGTGTGTGTTGCCTTCTCGAATGTGTCTAAAAAACTAATCCGAAAGGAACGAAAAAAAGTGACAGGAGGGGAAGGCTTTTCGAAGCTCCTATGGTTTTGCAATATTTTGAATTTTTAAATTCAAATCTGCTGATCTTTTTCGGCGGTTAATAAAGAGTTTTTTGATTTTATGCAACCTAAAATAAACCCTTCGATTAATCCATTAACCCATTAAAAAAAACAAAACTCATTGCCTAAAGATTCGTAAATTTAGTTATGGATCAATTTCCAAGAATATGAAACACTTTGAGAACATTAAAAGGGCGGTGCAAACTATGAAGTTCACGAGCTATGATTCGGCTTCTGGCAATCGGGGCAAACCTCCTCCTTGCTGCACCATCTCACACTGGACCTCCTCTGCTTGGACTTGTTCGAATTTCCAGGGTCATTGCAGCCGCAGAAGGTGCCAATCGACTTGGGTTGGAAGATGTTAACCTTCACCTGGCCACTTTCCGGATTCAGTTCAATGGGCAGCCTTAGGGTCACCGGATCGCCATGCAACTTGCATTGCCTGTCCTTGGGACAGGGACACTTGTCGTCCGTATGAAGACGGGCACTAACCTCCAGGGTTGCCGGATAAAAACGGGTCATCGAAGGGCGTGTGGGCACGCAATCGGTGCCGCCATAGCACCTCAACAATTGCTGGGTGGCATTGGCGGCTCGTTCCAAAACGGCTCGAATCTGGACAGGATCATCGAATCGAGGCGCCTGCTTACAGATCACCTCATCGCCACCGCCCACTGCCAACTCCGAAGTGTCCTCTTCATCACTCCGGCAGTCGTGGAAGGTGTCCATGTCCTCTTTCTCGGCCATCATTATGCTGAACTACTATACAATTTTGAATAATCTGAAAGCTACTGATTCTATCGAAATACCAAGGGGCTTTCCCAGGGAAAACTAATCTCAAGGCAATGTTGATTTGGGAAAGAAAATAGAAAGGAAAGACGTTTCCTACTGATCTATCATTAGCCAGCCAAATGATCAGGCAACTATAATCAAAGTTAGATTGTTGAATCTGAAGATCGCATATATGGCAGCCTTTAATTTACATTTATGTGGGGAGTTTTTACATCGAAGTTGTGAGTGTGGTGAATGTCCTCATTTGGGACTCCTGAACAACGTGGAATTGCTACGCTCCACGGGTATGTAGACGGTGCAGCAGAACTCCGACTCCACCTTTTGGTTGTGATAGAACACCAGTCGGCCAAGGATAACCTGCTCGATGTCATCTAAAAGCGGCGAGGTGGCGGGCTTAAGGGCAGTCTTTAGGCTACGCACACATTTAAGAGCGGCCACAAATCCCTCGTAGCTCTCTAGGGATCCTTGGTGATTCTTTTCCGTCCATGTGTCCTGTAGAAACTCGAGATGCTCACGGAAGTCTTCTTCATCCTCCCACAAATGAAGAAGGCGAGTCCGGAAGGTAGATAAATCGAAGTAACCATCCACGGAGCCTTGAAGAAGATTTATAAAGCACCTAGTTCTCTGGGGCATCAGAAGTAGTCGCTGTTCCACACCCACATCAGCCTGTGTTCCTGTCTCAATGGTTTCTGGTTGGACCTGAACTTCCTGCTCACTGCAAGACGGCGTGGCCTGAATCTTCTCCTCTGAACTTGTCACCTCGTTCGTTTGTACAAAGGACACGCTGGCTAGTGATTCCCAGTCATTATTGACAACTTCAGCATGCAGGGAGTACAGGGAAACCCCCGATCTGGCCGAGTGGGCCGTGTGAACTGACATTAACGAGTGGAAACTGTTGCCGGAGAGGCTTTGTTGGAGCGGGTGAAGCTTAGATCGGATGCGTTGACGGTAAATGCGCCTGAAGATGAAACGACGTAACATGGATCGCTGGTGTCGTTGTGGGATTGGTTGTTCCTCCTTGGCCTCCTTCTGACGCTTTTTGCTCTTCTTGTCAGCAACCAATTTATCCTCCAAATTATCATCCTCTATGATCAGTTCCCTCATCTCAGGGGGTACCTCAGAGATTATCTTTTCATTATCCTTCGGCGATTTAATTACCGTCAGTTGCTTAAGATTGGTCCGGCTATCCGCTCCTCCACGGAAACGCCCCGGTTTTTGAGCGGATTGGTTGACCTTAAAACCCCTTGACCGGGATGAGGATGCCTGAATACTTAGATAACTTTCTTCCTGACTTCCCTGACATTCTTGCATGACCTGACCTTCTGGACTTCCTTCACATGCCTGAGTTTCTTGAACAACCTGACTTTCTATACTTGTCACAGTCGATAGACCTGTTCCACTTAATCTAGTTGTTGAGACATCCTGGACCGAGGCCCAACTGGAGTCTTCATGTTCCGCTTCAGCTGCCTTGACCGGCTGGCTGGGAATTACACTCACCTCGGACGGACTCTGGGAGAGAAGGGTGTCCGCCAGATGCTTCACGCTGCAGGCAATCGCTTGGAAGTCCTTGTGGAGGGGCAGATCAAAATCACGGCCCTGCAATAGAAATACAGAATAAGGATTAGCAAACGATCTATTAATATGAGCCCTAACTCACCTCTAGGTCGAGCAGAGCTACACCAAGTCCTTGGCTGGCGGCCTGCAGACTTGGGACTTCATCCTTTTTGGCCCGCTTAGCAGGACTGTCATAGAGCTCATCCGCCAGGCTGTAACCTTCGGGAATAACGCCCAGTTTTCTTTCCATGAGCTGGCACTGTTCGTCCTTGGTACGTAGCTCGTCCTCCAGGCAGCGTGCCCGTTCTTCTGAATCCTTCATCTGCGTTTCCATCTGGCGGATCTTGTTCTCCAACGTGCCCACCTCTTCCTTCAGTTCGCTATTAGTCACCTCAATGTGCATGTATTCCTTTTTGATGTCGAAGATCTGGGAGCGCAGAGCATCCGTCTCCTGTCTCAGCTGATCTTCGGTGTTCTGCTGGACCTTCTTGGCAAAGGTCAGGTCATCCATTAAGGCCTGGCTCCTTCGCCTTTCGGTTTCCAAAGCCTCTGTTAGGGGCATCTTGTTCACTGCCTCCAGTTCTATTTTGGCCATCACGCTCTCCATACTGCACTGCAGGGTGCGATTTTCGGTGAGCAGATCGCGGTGCTCCTTGGTCATGCGAACCAGGCAGGTCTTTAGTGCCTGTTCGCCCTCCTCTAGCTGTTGGATCTTTTCGGTGGCAGCCCGGGAATCGTCCCTCAGGCAATCCTGCAACTGAGTTATCTTCTGCTTAAGACTTGCCTCCTTGGATCGGTAGGCCTCCTCACGCTCCTTGTACTGCTGCTCCAAATCGACCCAGTGGGAATCAGCCGTCTCCATGGCCTCGTAGTGCCTGGCATTGAGCTCTTTGAGTTGGCTGCGCAGGCTCTTGATTTCCTCTTTTAGGTAAGTGACCTCACGAGCCTCACCGGTATCGGTATAGCCCGCTTGACGGAGGCCAAAGTCCGTTGTATGAATTTTAGCGCTGGAAGTTTGACCACCTAAGGCTGAGCTTGTATAGCCCGAGGAGAGACGGGGACTGACTTCCGGAGAGGATACGTTACTGCCCATCTTGGCTAATGATAACAAACGATAGAACAGTAGCAATGGAAGCGATCTTCGCAGATCCTGAAGCTCTTTTCTGGCTTGCTTTCTTTCGGTCTGCAAATGCTCTAACTGGGTTTCAGCTGCCACAAGATCTTCACGCAGGATCAGAACCTCTGCCCTGCAATCTTGATATTTGGCACCCAGCGCTTCCTTGCCAAACTCCAACTCCACGTTGCGCTGGCGAAGGATTTCCAGTTCCACCTCGTTGCGCTGCAAATGAAGTCGAGTGTCGTTCTCCGCCTCCTCGAACTCGCACTTGGCCTCCTCTAACTGGGCGTTTTGTTCGGTTAGCAGTTCCACCCGATCACCTAGGTCCTTGAGATCCTTCTCCAGCTGCAGTTCTCTCTGCAATCTCTGGGCCAAGTGCCTTGCCTGGGTCTCACCACTGCTCTCGTAGATCAGGAGCTTGCCCTCAAGCTGCTCCAATCTCTCCTGGTAGAACTGCAAATGCGGGTGACTCACAGGATTCGAAGGCAGATCGCATTCCACAAACACTCCACTCTCGCTGAGGCTGCTGCTCTGCCAAGAGCTAACCTGGCTGCAGTGCCTCTTACTGGGCGTAGGCGGAGCTGTGGGCGTGGCACAGTTGCTATAAGGCTGAACAGTGGCTACGATCCTGTGATTGTGACTCTGACTGTGATTGTGACTTTGGGTTGGGTTGTGCCTCCGTGTAGCTTCCGTCCGGTTCTGTGTGATGGAAAACGAAACAAAAACTTGAATTTTAGGAACTCCTTAGTCCGAAACTTTCATAAGTGTTGGTTAAAACAAATAAAGATAATGAAAATAAGTTGGCTATCAATAAATATATTGTTTTTTTTGTTCTGTTTGCCAAACTCTTTATAAAGTTTCTACGGTTAACTGACAAACATAAATGAGCCATCTGGGATAAAACTCAATCTATCTTTTCTCACCTGATCGCCTGGCATCATGGCATCCAGATCCAATTGCTGGACGCACTGCAGCAATTGCTGTAGACAGCGTTTGTCCCGGTCCTCCAGTTGCTGGGCAGACTGCTCTAGCAGATCCTGCAGACTCTGGCAGTGGCCCTCGCATGTGCTCTCCATCTAGATCAAATCGGATTGGAAGCAAGGATAATACAATTAGATATATTCTTCTTGTTAACAGTTAGTTAGGCAAATTAACACTGGCTTTATGGTCCGCTGCCGACACTGACACACTCTCATATGCACACCGATCTACGACTAATTTCACTTTGCTAGTTACTCGAATAATTACTTTTGGTTATTGCAATTAGGCGAGTGAATTGGATTTTCAAGCTGAACGACTTCACTGCTGCTGCTGCCTGAAACTGCCAGCTGAAACTGTTCGGCTCTAGAAATTAAACGTACCGAAACTGAAAAGCAGCAGAAATTATTAAGGAAAGGGGTGCATCGAACGGGGGATACCCACTAAGAAAACTTTTAGATTACTTCATAGCTTTGATGGGATATCCCATTTATAAGGTTTCGTAATAAGATTGCTTTTCATTAATCAAGTTTTTAACCAGACGTATGGCTTGTTATCTTTCAATAGCCTATTATACCCTTACACCACACCATTTAATGGGCACCACTAAGGTGTGGGGCCAACAAAGCCTTTTGCTTGATTTGGTTGTCTATGAGTAACGACAAAACACTCATAAGTATAACAAGATACATAGATGGCGGCCACTTAGGGCTCTACCCTTATAAGAAGCGTTTTAAGCGCTTGACTCTAATTTGGCTAAAACAACTCTTTAGACCAAATCATCTACATGGCCAAATAAAAAAGCAACATTGGCTAAGTTAAATTGTAGGCGTTGATCGCACAGATTGATGTTGTGACATAAAGTGCAGACTGGGTTCAGACTCACTAACCATTGGAAAGTTTAACCACAGATTTCAATTCCTGAATATTTTATAACACTGGCTAATGAGTTAGCCATCAACTGCGGCTGCTCCAGTGAAACAATTTCAATTGGAAAATACAAAAGATTGTTGTTGCCGTTAAACCAAAACAATTTCCGTGCTGGCTTAGATGCCAAACAAAACTGAGAGACTTCGGCGCCAGACCAACTTGGCCAACAACGTTAGCTCTTAGCTCTTAGCTCTGAGCGAATTTGAGTCGGCTTCGAATGAATGGCTCAATTCATTCATAAACCCAAACAACAACAACAAGATCCAAGCCAAGTGAGTCATTCGCTCGAGTGGTTTCACAAACTGGCTTTCGAGTGATTCGCGGTCTGGGTTGCCATTTCCTTACCTTATCGCTATCATCTTCCAGCTCCAGTATGCGAAACTCGAGGAGTTCATTCTGTTCTCTCAGCTCGCTGGTCTCGTCCTCGTAACTCGTCTGCTTCTCCTCCAGCTCCTGGATTCGCTGCATTAGCTCTGCGATCTGTGCCTGCTTTTTCCCACTGCACATGACCGCCTTTTCCGCGGCATCCAGTTCTTGTTTCATCAGCTGCACCTCCGTTTGCAGGCGTTCGTTCTCCTTCTGGTACATTTCCGCTTCCTTTTGCAACTTGTCGAGGTCCTGCAGCTGCAAGTAAGAAAGCGGGGGTGGTTTTAGACAGCACTTAAAGGGAACTATGTGAGAAACGGTGGGAATATACCCCAAAGAAGACTTCACAGTTCTGGAAAATGTTCTTATACCTGTACTCATCTTATATTGTATTGCATATTCGAAATATTTCTAATGATAAAATGTCTTATTTACTTTTCAACATAGACATTTAGCGAGTAATCATATAGATGAAAACTTCAAGATCTCTCAAGTAGAAAACAGAAGTCTATTAAGCGAGAAGTACTACCTTTGCGTTTATGAATGTTATGTTTATACATAAATCATATTTTCCAAACTATCATTAATCATTGGATTTAAAGTAAACATCTCATGCTAAAAGTCTGATGGATTCGTGTTATTTTTACAGACCAATTTGAAGCTAGTCTACCTGCTGACGGGGATCTTGGTACTTACAGTCTGCCAAATCACGCCGCTGTCGGATCCGCTAGATGGCGGCTGCGGGCTGATGGAGGGCGGGGCCGAGGACAACGCCGAGTCCGTATCCGAATTGGAGTCCTTGAGAAGGCAATTGAGAGAGAGAAGAACGCGGTTATTTAAATACCAAAGTTCAATGGAATTTCTAAGCCATGACTCACCTTCGATTTGGCTGCTGTAGTATGGCTGGTTAGCAGCGTCGTCATCCAAGTGTTGGCCCTCATCTCGTCGGGGGCCCTCATGCGAGTAGGAGCATGAGCATGAGCATCATCCAATCCATTCGGCTGGCTGCTCTTCATTGTTGTGCGCATCTCGAGCGCTGATTTATGTGCATTTTTCGTATTGTTGATTAGCTCAATGTTCTTGAGTTGGGTTATCTGCGGCGGGAAATGGAAATGGAAAATTAGAAAATGTCGTGCCATAGTTACATTTATTCCGCCACTCTCCATCACTCGTTACCCACGTTTTCTTCGGGGCGACCTGGCCCAGAATGGACAAAGCAATTAACAAAAGAATCTGTTTTTCTTTTATATATGTTTTTTATCTGGTCTTCGTGGGGCACACACACACATGTGTATACCACATACTTGGCCCCCTCTCACTCCCCAAGAATAAAGAACTGAACGAGAACTGAAAAGAACGCTCCGCTTTGCGTCGTGCTCTTTACATGTGTGTTAACAGTTATGACTTGATTTCTTGCCACAGACACACATTTCGCTAAAAAAAAAAGAGCCAAATCATTATTATGGACAGGTACAGGTTGCTTTTTGATCCGGACAATGGGTACCAGTGGGTCCCCAAAAAGTGGGTTCAATGACATGGCCGAAAGATCAAAAAGGTGGCAGAGGGAAAAGGTGCGTTTTATTGTCGGATTAGTGGGGCCAAGGCACTATCTACCATCCACTAACCACCATTGATCCTGGTCGTGATTCACGAAACTCCACGCACAATTGAAGTTTACCATTCAAAAGTTTGGCTTTATCTTTGGGTCCCATCACGATTTTCATGGTCACGATGTGCCATCCATCTGGCCTGTCAGCTAATTAGCCTCTAAGCATACAGCCAACTCGAAAATCAAGCAATTCAAACCGAACCCAGTTCGAAAAGCCAAATCACTTTCCAATCAAGCAACGCCCAGTTATGTTTTACTTTCATGTCAATCTCATGTTTTATATAACACCCATAATAGCAGTGTTATTATACGCATAATGCAGCATTATGCTAATTTGTGGGCCTCGTTGGACATGAGTGTGTGTGCGTGTGTGTGTGTGTTTTGGGGCAGGAGAAATCATTAATCAATTGTGAAACGAGGTGTAGTACATATACATATATGTATAACCAAAAAAGGTTTCCAGAGAGCTGTCAGTGCAATGACCAACCGTACATCGCTTCATTTCACAACTGACCGCACTGGGAGAAAAATAATTAATAAAGATTGAAATGATAAATGCACTTTAAAAGTATGACTACCAACAATTTCTTTGAGTGCATGTATCTGGGTTGCCTTTTTATTATATCTTTCTGTAGATTTGCATACCTATAGGTATCTTTGCTTGGCTGATTTTAATGATATCATTATTTGTAGTAGCTTTTCATTTTCATTTCAATTAGATACCTATCTCGATTGCTTTTCAAAAATGGTAAATAAGTTGTATTAAGCCCAGATACATATTATATTTAGAAATATGTGAATGTGCTCGAATGGTTTTTCTCAGTGCACAGATACGTTTATGAGAGTCCAGGGTCTGGGCCCAAAATGGAGTTGGCTTTGCTGAAGTATTGCTGATGGCGTTGGTGTCGCATGCCTGCACGTCTTCGATTGAAATTATCGGCTGTCGTGGAGAGGCCAGTTCGAGATCGCCGACCGATACCCAGACCGACTGAGCTAACCGTTATGGTAATTTCTTGGATCGATTCCAAAAGAACTTTTTGCATAACGGCCGGTTAACGAACTCGATCAACGTGCTCGGGGCGATTAAGCAAGCAAGTGGCGTGGATTGCCAACAGACAGGCAGCTCGAGTCCCAATCACAGTAACCCATTCCAGTTGCCAACCTCCCCCCCCCTCAATATCTTCATACCAGAGGGGGACTCTTTTTTTGATGGCTCTATTGATGCCATATGCAGATTGCGCTAAATGCAGCGTCGACGTTGCGAGACGGAGATGCGCCATCGGGTCGATTTCAAACGCTCGATGGATTGTTTGTAAATCTGTCGGCAGTCCCAACCTGCTGAGCCATATACGATGCGGAGATACCCATATACTGAGATACTAAGATACACAGACACTTAGATATACCGAGATGCAACGATACGAAGATAGTCGGATGCACATGGGTGTGTTTATGTCTCGCTGTCGGTTTGTTTGCACAAGCCGCGGGCCAAGTGATTGTGATTGTGTGAAATGATTTTCCTTTCTGCAGACAGGTTTCACTTCGATCGGTGCAACTGCCACTGCAACGCCAGCTCCAACGTTCCGGGTTCGACTCCCCCGGCTCCGTGGACGATTACGTGTAACAGCAGCCATCAAAAGGCATCGCCGGTGCCTTAAAAACAGACATGCCCAATCTAATAGCACTCGAGATGCCTTCCCCGGAAACAATCGACCTGAATTTCCGATCAATTTCAACTGGTAACCATATATGAACCATTATCTTCGTTCGTTCTAGTAAATTACTTTTGTTAAAGATTTCTCTTTAATAAAATTATATCCGGAACAGACGTGTACTTGTTGTAACTTATTGATTAGCATCACAGAACATTACTAAAACTAAACAAATTTCCTAAATTTTTAAAACCCTTTTTAATAATTCTGATAGCTAATATCTTGACCAACACTGTATGTACCAACTAGTAGGTATATTTTTTCTTATATTTGCATTTGGCATTGTAATTCAGGTTTGACTCTGCACAAAGGCACTGCTTTGATTTGATCTTGCGAAAGCGAAAGTTTATATGCGCTAATGAATTATATTGTATTGCAGATGGTATATGGGATATGGTATTGGTAAATGCTATATGCTATATGCTATATGGTATATCGTATCAGGAGGGCCAGCCAAGTGGAACTCCCGCCCGATGGGATAGGCTAATTGAACTAATGAATGGACTTTCGAGGCCCTGTTGACATATGTATATGCATTGCAACGATATCGGGGACTAACCGGGGAGTCCAACTGTGGCTCTGATAGCCGTTTTCCGTTTTTGTTTTATTTCCGATGCCGATGCCGAAGTCCACGTCGAAGTCAAAGCCTTTCCCTTTCGATCTGAGATACCACAAAGAGGTAATTATTCATCCGTCGCGGCCTCAACTGTTTTTGATGATGGCCCCTTTTGTGATCGAAAGAAAAACAAATTTGCAAAAACTTTATAGACCCCCGTGTGGCAGAAATGTCAGGCAGCAAAGACTTTTGATATCGCCGATTGATTGTTAATCATCCAAGATGATCTTTTAATGGTTTTTGAAAGTGGATTAAATTGGTGTCGATAAGCTCCAGTTTTCTGTTTTTTTTTTATCCAAGCAGTTTACAACGCATTATTTTGTATTAATTTAATAAGTGTGTTTATCGATTGGTGCCAGCTTACGAAATCAAGCTGTATCTTTATAATGGTGTTAAGTGATTGGTTACTAAAACACATCTTAAGTTCAATTAATAGAAATCACATGGAAAAGCGGAAACACCAAGGTGAATAGACTAGACTCCTTTCCCTTTTTTCAAAAAGAACATCTTCGCTTTATGAATTATTGAGTTATAATAATTATAAATCAGGCGGCAATCTGACAGCTATACGCCCCACCATTCCATTCTCATAAATCAGATTTCCCACCGCTGGCTCACAATAAGCTAATTGTCTATGGAGTACGCGTCGTATGAGCAATACCCGTGAAATGAGTAACAAGTGCTACCAGAAATAGGAATCACTTAATGGCTTATACTACATATAAATATTTGCTCTGGCTATTTGGCAGTGGTCAATTACCTTGACATCCCTCCGGTTGTAGTAGTAATCCATTGTCAGGCGTTTCTTTGCATTATTCCCAGCATATGAAGGTGTTTTGGATTTTGTTTAACAACAAAAACAAAGTAACAAAAAAAAAACAATTAACCGCAATTTTCAAGTTTTCGTCAATGCTGATGGCATATAGTTTTCACCGTAGTAATTTCACTAAAACATCGAAATTTATAGACACATTCCGGCAAACGATTCGCGATTTGCATATGGTTCACATTTCCATTTCACACACCCCTTTTTCTCTCCCATGCCGTTTAGTTTGTTTTTTGTGTTGTGATTACTTTGCATATTGGAAGCGTCCGGAGTCCGCAACTGGCGTCTTGTTTTAGCAACATCATCATCACAATCATCATTACCATCGCTTCGCTTTTACTGTCGTTTGACGATGGCGATGGCTATGGCCATGTCTATGTCTATGGCGTTGGGAAGATGGGGATGACTAAATTTTTGCAGGCGGCAGAGGTATAGTCATATACCTAAACACCATACCCCCTACCCATACCCATACTCATAGTCATAGCAACATATCGTATTTAAAATAGCGTTAACATTTTAAAAGCTTTTCACTGACCCCAATTGGTGGTGTGCACACACACTCCCCACAACAACCGCACACTTTTTTTCTTTTCCTTAAAGACTCTTAACTCTTAGGGGAGATTGGTGGCGAGTACACATGGGAAAACATCAATCAATATAGTGAAATGATCAATATACAAACATCTTATTAACTTCCACACTTTTGACTCAAAGGGAAACTATTACTTTAATCATGTGAAAAGATTATAATGATATGCTGCTAAGTCTTTCTTTAAGCATAGTATAAAGTAATTATCTTATCTTTAGTTTTTTTTAAAGATAAAAATCTATTCAAACTTGTAGAAAATAAAAAAAAATATGCAAGCCAAAATAATTAGTAAGTTCGTGTTGGTATGTTTGGTGCTGAAACTGTCGTAAAGTTTAATTTCATAGTTGTATAATTTTTACCATCTCTTTTTTAAGTACTTAATAAATTGTTAAGAGTTCCACATTTTTTTAGCTGCCTTCAAGAAACGTGCATTGTGTTAAAACTAAGTGTGGGACTAATTAATAAAATCTTTTATGGGGTAATTAATGGCTCAGACACTTTTATTGTTTTCCCGGGTTGTTAGCCTTAAGGGGGTGTTTTTTTCATTTAAAACGTATTTGATATGTTATTTCTCTGCGTGCATTTATTGATGCCGCATTTATTTCTTGTTGCAAGATGACATCGTTGCCCGATTTGTTGATGATGTTGCTGCCACTGCCACTGCCGCTGCTGCTGCTGCTGCACTTTGCTATGCAAATGACTCCAGCTCAGATAGAAACTAGCTCACTGGCCGACATCCGATCGCGGATTAAAGAGATCTGCCAGATGCGAACCCCGTTCTTGGATTGCGATTGCGAATCCGAATCTGAATCCGATCCACACCCATCAAATCAAGCTGTCATGGACCAATGATCTCGGGATCTTGGATCTTCGTAACAAATTCTCAACTACTTTGCCAGCAATGAAAAACAATTACGATCAGGCGCGATTAATGAACTGTAAAATCGAATTCGATCACTGGAACGTAACTATATGGCTCTATGGCCATATTGCCACAAATCACGATTTGGAAGAGGGGCAAAAAGGAGGCGACGGTGTGTGCGAAAGGCAATTAATTTTGAACGTTTTTGGCATATTTCACTAAACTATAGTGCGAAGTCGGTGAAATTATGGGTGTGCGTGTGCGTTAGACAATGCCAAAGAGAAAGACAAACTCTGAATAGGTTTTCCTATTCAATATTGTAACGATTGTTTATTGTGTATGTAACCGTCAATGTGTGGCATTTGGTTCCTTCATTTTTGGCATACAAAATCAGACAATGCACTCTGCTATCCGACTTTTCATTAGCGCTTCTTTTCAAAAGTCCAACGATTCTGGGCCGCAAAATTTCACTGCTCCAACTCGGATATATACCCATTTGATTTGTGCACTTCACTGGCTGTATGTTTATACGATTTTCTATATATATATATATCTTTTTTTGGAAACTGAGTTTCAGATTGAGACTGAGGCACCTGCGACACCTGCGACCGCTGCGAACTTAAAAACCGAACTGACGGCCATTCATGCGAGCGGTAAACTCTCGAGCGGCGGGAGAGAAAGTGAGTGAGTGAGTGGTGCGAAAAACCGGCTTGGAATCGACCGCTCTACTCTCTCTCGTTCTCGCTCTCGCCAGCGATCCACTTGCAACACTTGCGCTGCTGCAACTGCAACGCTGCAACTGCCGCAGCAGGTTTTTTCTTTACTTTTTTTTCTCGTTTATTTTCGTATATGTTTCTTTACGTCTTTTTTCTGCCCACCGCTTATCGACGCGGCGATTGTTGTCTTTGCCATTCTCATAACTAACGCAAAATTATATCATAGATCATGCCAATAGTGCATAACCACAGGTAGAGAGACATGCAGAGACAGCTGGAGAGATACTCCGGCAGGCAGCTGCAGATATATGGATAGATACACTTGGATCCCGAGATACAGATACTGTATCTGGTCGAGCTCTTAACTTTTAACCCGACGGCTCTCAGACAAGTTCAAGTGCTGCTGCCCCCCACCCAAAAATCAAAAAAAAAAGTTTAAAAAGCCAAAGAAATAAAATACAGGCACAGGCAGACAGAAAGATATATACAGACTCACCTCAGGTGTAACTTGAGCCTGGCGTATGGGATTTTGCTCGACTATATTTGTATCTGTATCTGGTTCGGTTTTAGCTTTTGTTTCTTCTCCCGTTGGCTTCGAAGTGGGTTTCTTTGGCTTTTGGCTCGTTTCGTTGGGGTTCGTTTTGGGTTTCGTCGTCGCTGGCACTTTGGCTTCATTCTGCCTCTGCTTCTTGGGACTCTGCAGGGCCAGCAAGTCCTTTCTCAGTTGTCCTATATTACGTTCTTTGGTCTTTATTTCCTCTAGCTGTAAGGAGAGGTTTTAAAGATTAGTTGGAAACGCTGTAGAGCCCTGTAATGTTTGTTTTACAACTTGAAATGATATCCACAAGGTATCTGATTACGGCAATGTTTAGTCTGTAAACCAAAATGTATACCTGATCTCTGGGAACTTCTTTTTCGGGAAATCATAGAAGAGGAAACGCCAATGATGTAGTATCAGATGTCAGGTGTAAATATTTCACGAAGTTTATGTTTATGACTTTACTTTATTAAAGTGCAGTATTCTCTAAGAGCCAGTAAATCCAAACGTTAATACCATGATCACTTCATAACGTCTAGTTGACAAAATGACCTGTTTTCTTGCTGTGCAAATTCAAAATGCATGTATGAATTTCAATGGTCTTATGAAAAGTTGCCCGTCCGCTTCTGAACCGCCGGGTTCCATTCGTTACCGCTCATCCCCTCCCTCCTTTTCCCTTCTCTTTTTCGGCCAACTTTTTGGTGACCCGTTAGCAGCCGCTACGCACAACTTACCAAACGTGTTATTTCAATTTTTGCTGATTTCTGTATGTGAGTCAATCGGTTTTCGTACGCGTTCTTCAATTGCCGCATATCGGCAGCCTTGAGTCTATCAGCCTGCCCCATAATCTGCAAGAAATTGTCGATTCATATACATATATGCGTGTTGCCAACTCTTGGATACGGGTAACTCCCCCTCCTCCAAGCAGCGGGAGAGGCCAAAAGCAAGTTAATCCATGCTGTTAGTTTGCACTTTGCGATTAGGTCGCACGTCCATTAACCAAACGAGACACAAAAACACACAGAAATGCTACAAAAAGAACGGGAAAGGAAAGTTCTTGCCACGGTCGAAGTATCGCATACCCTACCCTATATATGGTAAACATATTAAAACAGAAGACGAGAAAAAATATACATAAAATATAGAAAACCACCTAAAGACTTTCACTTAATGGCGTGCTAAACACTCTTTCTAGCACCGAAAAGTGTTTGGGTAAAATGTAAATTTAGAGGTTTAGATTAAAGATCTAGCAAACTTGTTTAAGGAAATTAAAAGGTTCTAAAATAAGAATATCCTTTAGAGGGTATAGAAAGTGCAAAAGATATGGCACAATATTTGCTTAACGCCCTTCGTCGATATGGCAGGCATTAACGAAATTGCTATATCGAAATTGGCTCTGGGTATAAAAACAAAGGTGACATCCTGCTGGGCAAACAGTTGGCATTGCAATGTCCATCCACCGGCTAAGACAGCTTCTGATCCTGGTAATCTTGGCCAACATGGCCTGGGCAGGTGAGAATCGCATCCCGATAAGCGTCAAGGAAAGTTCCAATCTGATGGTCAAGATGAGCGAGATCCTCTGCAGAGCTCGGATCAAAGTGCTGTTTGTGTATTTTGAAAATCAAACCTCACACGAGCACACGGGTCAGATTTTAAGGGAGGTTACCAAGTGCGATATATCCTACATATCACTAAGGTAAGCACTGAACTCTTTTTCCAGCAATATTTGAGTTTCCAAGTGAACTGATTTTCAAGAACAAATAACCCAAACTATAAATTTTCTTGTATTTTCCTTGGCAGAAATCAAAATGGACCATTGGAGGCCGTCAAGGATGATGGAATCCTTATGTACATGGTGATGATAATTACGAACATATCGCAACCGTTGGAGCTTTCACTCATCCGGAAGAAATCAGCTGCCAAGCATCGATCGCATGTTTTCCTCTTGGTGAGAGATGCCAATACAGTTTCCGACGCTTGGATGCGAGCCAGTTTCCGGCAATTCTGGAAGATCTGGCTGCTGAACATCGTGATCCTCTACTGGCGAGATGAACGACTACATTCATATCGCTATAACCCCTTCACGGACAACTATCTAATACCAGTAGACAACAATCCAAATGGTGTACCCACTTTGGAGCAACTATTTCCCAGAAACATACCCAATATGCAGAGAAAACCCCTGAGGATGTGCATCTACAAGGACGACGTGAGAGCTATTTTTTGGAAGCAGGGAATTATTCTTGGAACAGATGGCCTGTTGGCAGGCTATGTGGCTGAGAGATTGAATGCCACCATGATGATAACGCGACCTCATAGCTATAATAATCACAATCTAAGTTCAGATATTTGTTTCTTTGAGGTTGCCAAGGAGTACGTGGATATGGCCATGAACGTTCGCTTCTTGGTCCCGGATACCTTTAAGAAACTGGCGGAGAATACGGTTTCCCATATGCGCGATGATCTCTGTGTGATTGTTCCGAAGGGCAAGACGGCTCCTACGTTCTGGAATATATTTCGATCCTTTGGAACATCGGTTTGGGTTCTCATACTAGCTTCTGTATTGGTGGCAAATGTATTCTGCTATATCCTGCGGGCTGGAGTGGGTGGTGCTTCCATGCAACTGTTCGCCGGAGCCCTAACTATGCCCATGACCCACATCCCACCGAATCACTCACTCCGACTATTCTGTATCTTTTGGCTTTATTTTGGTCTGCTCATCTGCTCCGCTTTCAGAGGAAACTTAACCAGCATGATGGTGTTCCAGCCCTATCTGCCGGATATAAACCAATTGAGTGCCCTGGCGAGATCTCACTATCACATTCTCATTCGCCCGAGGCACGTAAAACACATCCAGCATTTCCTTTCTCTAGGGCATAAGTACGAGGCTAGGATCAGGGAGCAAATGTTGGAAGTTCCTGATGCCCAGTTGTACGAAATGTTGAGGAATAACGATATAAGGTGGGTACTGTAATCCACTCCAATCGATTTACTGAAACCTAACTGAAACTGGAACCTTTCCTTGATATAAACAGATACGCCTATTTGGAGAAGTACCACATTGCCCGATTCCAGGTGAACAATCGGATGCACATGCACCTGGGCCGTCCACTCTTCCACCTGATGAACAGCTGCCTGGTGCCATTTCATGCCGTTTACATTGTGCCCTACGGATCGCCTTACCTCGGCTTCCTGGATTCTCTCATCCGGAGTTCACATGAGTTCGGATTTGAGCGATATTGGGATCGGATCATGAATTCAGCATTCATCAAGTCAGGTGTAAAAGTGGTGAACCGTCGGCGTGGCAGAAACAGTGAGGATAAGGTGGTCCTCAAGCTGCAGCATTTCCACGCCGTATTTGCACTGTGGCTAGTGGGGATCGGGTTGTCATGCTTGGTGCTGGTCTGGGAGCACTTGACCCACAACTACAATTGGGCGGTAACAAAGCGGCGGCACTAACTATACTATATCGCATGCAACATGCAATGTGATGATGGCGATGATGATGATAATGATGATGTTGTTGATGTGGCATCCACTTACCTGGGTCTTCTCCTCCTTGTTTCGATTCGCTTCCTTCAGCACGGCGATCTCGTTAGTCAGTCTTTGGATTTCATAGTTGATGAGGCCATCGGCGGTCACATGAGTGCCAGCCGAGTCTGGGCCAGATTCAGCGGCCTTCTTTATTCCATTGCTCTTCTTGGCAATATCCAGCGTGTGCTGCAGCTTCTTTACTTCGCTCTTCCACCGACGACTATCTGCGTCGTTTTGAGCTCTGGTGGAGAGGAAAACAATTAGTTTTTGATTAAGAATTTCCAAAAAAAAAAAAATCACATTATTATCAGGTATCTGGTAGCCACATTTAAAACATCAAAGATTGGCTTTTAAAATTGCCCTCAAAATGCAAATATTAAATGTCGAAAGTTTTAAAAGCTATATATGTTATCATGAGATTTCACAATCTGTAAAAATTTCTATAAATCCACAATTAAAGCTATTTATATATGCACTGAATCTTATACATTATACTTGTTGGCTGACAGATTAAATTTCTTAAGTTACTGATTGTTGATCACCGCTTAAATCAAAGGTCAAGAAATGTCGCAATGCAAAAATGCGCATTTGAGGTACTTTTTAATATTTTATTATCAGTTTCAAAGTACAGCTTGAAGTAAATTTTCAACCTTTTCCCTTCTACTAGAGTACCTTACATCCAATTTTCAGTAACTACCACAAAACTCACCTCAAGGCTCTTACTGCTCCGCGTTCTGTGATCAGACTGGACTTTAGTTCATTCACCTCCAGACGTAGTTGCTCTGTAAGGGCATTTAGCTTCTGGATGGTGTCCAGATTCTCCTGCAGCTTTCTCTTGATCCTCTGTGGAGGTGCTGCAATCACATTTGTGGTCGTTACACCACCAATTATTACGGGTCTTTCCCGTTCCCGCTCTTTTTCTGGCTTTACTATTTGCTTAGGTGATCCTGTGGATGACACCTTTTCGGCCTCAAAGGATTGCGTATCCTTGGGTCGCAATTTACCGCGACACTGCAGCTGGATGCCCTCGATGCGGGTGCGCTTCTCCTGATTCACCGTATCCCCAACGGAAGTTAGGGAGGTGCTCAGTTTCTTCTTTCGCTTCAATTTATTTTTGGCCATTGTTTGCCAGTCTTCGATATCGTGCTTCTCCATTTGGAAGCTCTCTTTGGAGTTGGACTTAGAATCCGTCCTGCGAACCACAGTCCCATTGTGGGGCGACAGGATATGAGTGGTCCTGCTACCATTACATCCCTTGCTAGAGGTCGTTTTTGTTTGGTTTTCAGCCATTTTTATGTAACTTTAGTATATAAAAATGTTGCCGTCGTTTATTTTTGGGTTTCTGCTTTTTCAAGTACTGCATATGCGGTGTGCTCCGACCCTGACGAAAATCCCTGCTACACTTCACTTGGTCATCGTTGGATTCTCCTTAATCTGTAATACAAAACAAGGCAGATGGTTATAATAGATCCTTAAATAACTTGGTTATCTGTTTTATATCGGATAACTCATTGTTATATGAGTCAAGGCAGTTGTCATTATATATGATTAATACAAAAGAGATAAGTGGCAAAAAGCTTTCTGTGATTTACTTTAAAATATAAAAGTACAGCATTAACTTATAGCATATAGACATCTGCCTTGAAAAAGATTTCAGAACTCAGAAAGAAGTCTTTGCCCGCAAGAAGGTTATTTCTTCAGAACAGCGAAGATTCTCCTTTTGTCTGACTGCATTTCAATGGCTTCTGTTTAGCCGTTGACTTTTCAACGCTTTTCTCCGCTGGCCTGAACTAATCAACAAGTATCCCCCGTTATTGATTTCCACGGAAAAGCTTTTTCTTTCATTTCGCCACAATGGGTCGGGCACACATGAATGAAAAGAAACATATAGGCACCCTGGGACAGGGAAATATGTAGTTTACAGTGCGAATCGCATTGGGCTTACAAACTAAACTGGTCCCGAATGGTCTTTCCTAATGACGTCATGTGGCGCGCCTTTTTGGAATACAACATGTACATAGAGTACATGTGTTTATATGACTTTTCCCTCTGGGGGGCTCTTTACACGCAATAAAACTGTTTTTCATTACTATTTTTTCTAGAGCAGAATTCTTTGCATTGCTCCCACATCCGCCCGAAAGATTATAACAAAGCATCTATATATACTGTATGGGGTGCACACACGACTGGTGCCCTCAGTTCATAGAATGCTCTCCGAGAGTTCTGTCCGATCATCTTTATCAAGGCCACGATCTATGTATATATATATAGAGCGACAGATGTGTGTACTTAGCAACCTTCTGGCGCTTAATTGGAATTTGATTTGTTTTTCCAACACGATCCATTAGGTGTTAAGAGGGAGTGATTTGAGTGTGTGTTACTTAAGTTTATTATAGTTTTGTTAGCTGCATAAATCAAGGAACCAATAGTTTAAAAAGAGCTATAAATTTTACTTTTAAGACCTATGTGTAAAGTTTATAATATTGAAAAAGAAACCATAAAAAGAATCTGATCTTAGGTTGACCTATTAAAAACTATATTTATTATAAAAAAATGATTCAAAATAAAAGTATCTATATGTTACACTTTCACCAGTAGCCTTATAAACGAAAGTCATATTTATTTTATGGTTTTGGCTTACAATATTAAGTTCACTTTTAAGTTCTTTAAAGCTGGAAGGCTAGGGGATATGAATGGCTCTCATGTTGCATTTAATTTAATTAAATTTGAAACCGCTGCCCAAGTCAACTCGTTAATAAAGTGTTTTTGGGACGACATACACGCCATGGTGACATCACAGCCTCGGTGTGACCGGCTTGGATGGGATTGGTTTTTGTTCGAGCGAAGCCACCCACTCGGTTTCCATCCATCGTACACATGGCCAGATGAAAGTCTCTTTTCTGCTCTTTAAGCATGTATATTTTCAGACATATATCAATTTAAAAATATTGCCAAACGATGAGTCGGACAGCCGTCGAATGTACAGTTTTTTTTTTTCAGCTGAATCACTGAAGATCACGTATACGCACCATTAGCTGTGAAATCCTTGGGCGTCGTAGACCAAAGTTTGGCGTGCCTCAAACTTGTATATATCTTTCTTCACTCACTCACTTTACTTGCCCGACGATGTTGTAATGTAAACAGTTTATTAACTGCGAGATTTCCACTATTTCTTGCAGTGCAATGACGTCAATACGTTAATTTTCAATAGACTTATTTTTTTTCGCGCACAAAGCAAGTAAAATATTGTCGGTATGTAGAGCAGTTCTTCGACAATTGTTTTTGGCGAAATTTCCTATAAATTTCTTTTAAATAATTCACAGAGTTCGTTACAGGAAGTTCGCGATGTTTTTAATTAGTTACACAAGTTCGTCGGAATATTAGTGAGTAATGTTTGATTCGTTTTTGGGAGTATCTTAATTAAGTGCAATCAATTTAAATTGTAAATTAAAAGAAATGGTGTTCTGTACTCTATACTAGGTAAAATTTCGTTTGCTCGGCGATAGCAGAGATCTTTCGTTTCGGCCGGACACCGATTGACTAACTCGGCCCCTCGAGCTTTCGCAAGCTCTTTCACATTTGCCTCCATTTCCATTTAATTAAAAGGAGCTTTGCCATTTATTGATGCAGTTCTTGGGGTTGCGGGGCGCTAAAGCTCAGGCATATGTGCGTGCCCCGAAGAATGGCCGACACAAAGCCGGAAGAGGCAATTTGTTGAAAGCCGAATTTCCTCCCGGTTCTCCTATTCATAACAAAAACAAACCAGCTGCCTGCGTATTAATAACCAAAATATCCAAACAACCCATGAAGTCGGTAAGAATAATAACACACCGAAAAAAAAGATAACCGAATCGTTGATTGATCGAATTATAAATCAGGAAATGTAAAACTTTATCAGGTTTGTAGATATGATAAGGTATTTATTACTTTAACAAAAAGGTGTAAAAAAGAATTAAATCGCTTTTTAATATATTTGCCAAGTTTTCTAATCTTAATAAATATGTTTGTAGCACTTCCGTGAACTATTTTCTTCTGTATTATCACAAACCATTTGTGCTAGTCTAAGATGAAGTGCAATCTAAAGACGTGCTGTTGAAACGTGCAAAAATAATTACTTGTTTTATGCCATAAATAATAACTGTGATAATAAACATTGCTGTTAAACATTTTAGACGGGCAATCAGAGAGCTTTTTAAATTATCTCAAGATTATTAACCCAATTTAAATGTAATAAATTTATAGTCACTGAAAATCTTTTATCTGGTGCCCTTCTGTGCAAGCATATCTTTATATAAATGACCCTCAACAGCTGAAACTTCACAAATCACATACAAATTTGACAATCGGCTTAACGACGCGATGAATGATGGACACAATTAGAACACATTCCGATTCCAGTCTGTCAACAGAGTGAAAATCTGAATAGAAGCACAAAAGGGGAACAGACTTTGCACTATGATTGGAATGTCTTATCATGTGGGAGCTTCAATACACTTTACTTACTCACTATTTGCATTTCTTATAGCCGGTTTTCCGAGTCCGAGAATCCTGACACGTTTCGTAATCACTTCGTGATTTTTGGTCTAATAGTATCCATTGGCATCTGTTTTGGTCCGTTGTCGTCGTTAGGATGAGTCTTGGGCAACTAAAATTCCAATTCCACATGACCGAATTAGATTTAGACTGCCTCCTTCCATTTGAACCTAATTGCGGTTGAATGTTCTAGCGTTTTGGCCTTTAAATGACTCTTTTATTCCCCATTAAATTGCTGCTCGGTGCACAACTCACTCAAGTTGAGCGGTAGGAACAAACTGAAGATGCGGCGCACATTCTAAAATGGAATAAGCGACATGCGTGCGTGCATCGCCAAATTTATATAAATAGAAAGAATCACAAATCTATATTTGAAGTTAGGAGAAATTTCAAAAAACCGCTCACAGGTCAACGGTGACGTCACAAAGTCATCGATTTATTATTTCGATTACTAATGGTAGCCGTTCAAGCATTCATGCATGTATTTAATAAAATGTATTGTTAATACTATTAAAAATTCATAAATTATTTAAAATATGAGAGCTTGAAACATTTCATTAAAATAATAAGTTTTTTTTTCAATACAAAACCCTTCCTCAAATTATTTTTAAATTCAGCTCGGCAGTCCGCAATTACCGGTCGAAAACGTTCACACTGACCAGAACATCGATTAAGTTCGATTGCACATCGGTTCATCGATAGACACATTACTCACCGCGGAAAACGTGAACGAAAAGCAGCTTGCCGCCTGTCTGCTAGGAACTTTTATTATTTAAACCTGTCTTACGTCGAAACGGCAAAGCCCATCACACAAATATGGTAAGTCCTGCCGCAAATAACCCGAGGATAACTAAGAGAGCTCAAATCAAGAGCTCCCCTGCGAGCGACATGAGATTGTAAACATAACCTGCAAAGAAGCTTCTCGCAAGCCGACGACATCTGCTGACTAATTGGGTTTTAATATATATGATTTGATATATCTGCCCAATTTTTAGCAACCACAAATCGTGCTGCTGAAGGAAGGCACTGATACGTCGCAGGGCAAGCCGCAACTGGTGTCCAACATCAATGCCTGTCAGTCGATCGTGGACGCGGTGCGTACCACTCTGGGACCCCGCGGAATGGACAAGCTGATTGTGGATGCCCATGGCAAGGCTACGATTTCCAATGATGGAGCAACCATCATGAAGCTGCTGGAGATTATCCACCCGGCAGCCAAGACCCTGGTGGACATTGCCAAGTCACAAGACGCCGAGGTAAGCGGTTTCCCCTCCTAAAACTTAAGCACGTGACTAAGCTAAAGCACTAATTTTGTTTCTTAAGGTTGGAGATGGTACCACATCCGTGGTTTTATTGGCCGGAGAGTTCCTTAAACAGGTTAAACCCTTCGTGGAGGAGGGCGTTCACCCGCGTGTTATTATCAAGGCTATACGCAAGGCTCTGCAGCTGTGCATGGAGAAGATCAACGACATGGCCGTGCAGATTGTCGAACAGTCCAAGGAGGACCAGCGTGCTCTTCTTGAGAAGTGCGCAGCGACTGCCATGTCCTCGAAGCTGATTCACCAGCAGAAGGATTTCTTCTCCCGCATAGTGGTAGATGCTGTGCTTTCGCTGGATGAACTGCTGCCCCTGAACATGATTGGTATCAAGAAGGTAACCGGTGGTTCGCTCGAGGAGTCGCAGCTGGTTTCGGGTGTGGCTTTCAAGAAGACGTTCTCATATGCCGGCTTCGAAATGGCCCCCAAATCCTATGATAAGTGCAAGATTGCCCTGCTTAACATCGAACTGGAGCTGAAGGCAGAGCGCGACAATGCCGAGATTCGCGTAGACAACGTGAAGGAGTACCAGAAGGTGGTGGACGCCGAGTGGCAGATTCTCTACAACAAGCTGGCCAAAATCCACGAGTCCGGTGCCAATGTTGTGCTCTCCAAGCTGCCCATCGGCGATGTGGCCACACAGTATTTCGCTGACCGCAACATATTCTGTGCCGGTCGCGTTCCTGATGAGGATCTCAAGCGTACCTTGAAGGCCTGTGGCGGAGCCGTCATGACAACAGCCAACGACATCAAACCCAGCGTCCTGGGACTGTGCGAGCATTTCGAGGAGCGCCAGGTGGGCGGCGAACGTTTCAACTTGTTCCAAGGTAGGATTTTCGAGTTTCATATCTAAGATATAAATCGATTTTTTTAAACCATTAAATTTAATTCCTTTTAAGTTCCTTTAATAAAATAAGGTTAATTAATTCTCTTCTTTCCAACAGGTTGCCCCAACGCCAAGACGAGCACCCTTATCCTGCGTGGCGGTGCCGAGCAGTTCCTGGAGGAAACCGAACGCTCATTGCACGATGCTATCATGATCGTACGCCGCACCATCAAGCACGATTCCGTGGTGGCTGGAGGCGGTGCCATCGAAATGGAGCTATCCAAGCTGCTTCGAGACTACTCACGTACCATTGCCGGTAAGGAGCAGCTGCTTATCGCCGCCATCGCCAAGGGCTTGGAGGTCATTCCACGCCAGCTGTGCGACAACGCTGGATTCGATGCCACCAACATTCTCAACAAGCTGCGCCAGAAGCACGCCCAGGGTAAGTGTCCAAAAACTAAATTATTTTAATTGAGTTTTTTAGGTTTAAAAACTTGAATTTTTGGGAGTCGTATTTATTTTAAGGTATTTACATCGTAAATTATGATGGCTTAAAATCCAATCGTTTCTACGCAAAAATGTGTCGCCAATCAATAGTGCTAAATCGGTATAGGAAAAACAATTAGGCACTTTCTTAAAAATTTTTTTATTTACTTGGTCCACAAAATTATCAATATGGTTATTTCTTTAGCTGCTCATGCCACAGTCTGAAGCAGGGTTCCTGGCACAGACCCGGTTTGTCCGGACAGGAGTTACACATATATTTGCTGAACTGCAACATTCCGCCTTTGTGGCAATGCCGACAGTTCTTTCGGGCTGGTTTTCCATTCTGCTGGATGACCACGGGTTCGTGCCGGATAGCCTTGACCTTAGCCTCAGGTACCGGCTTGTTCTTGACCTTTTCAAGTTCGTCTGGCTTCTTTGGACTGACTGATACGGATTCACTAATCACTTCTTCCCTTAGAAGTGACTTGATTATGGCCACCCGGAACTCCGGATAGCTTTTAACGTGCCCACCACGTGGATTCTGACCGTTCAAGTATAGCAGATAAGCGTTGTACACAAGAATGTTGAGTAGGAAAATTGACAGCTTCTTGTCCGCCGGAAGCTCCTGGCAGGCTGGTTGGTAGTGAATCAAGTGCTGGCGACTCTCGTTGGCGGGTCGCAATTGCCAGTCCAACTCTTGGATCAATTTGGGTCTAGCGTTAGTCTTCTGCATAGACAGCTCCTTTGCATAAATGGCCAAACAATCAGAGCTAAAAAAGTACAAGCTCTTTGCTCGTCGTCGCCACTTGGCCATCATTAGGGATGTGGCATAGCTGGTAGATATACTATTGGAAGCCAATCGCTGATGCACTAGTGCCTTGCTATTGCCATATCTATTCCTATCCAGCAGTCCGGTGCAATAAGTGCTTCTCTTGGCCAGCTCATGAGCCAGGCCGTAGCTACCATAAAACTTTGAGGCGTACACAGTTTGTCCCACTTGATAATCCTCCATTAGTTTCAGGGCCAATTCGTTTCGATGTTCCACTAGCTGCCGGGAATTACGCACCCATGCAGGAGAATCCTCCTTGCGCACAATCTCCGGTAGAAGCTTTACCACCAGGCCACTCTGTTCAGTTAGCATATGTAACAATAATGAGTTGGTCCGGAATTTGTTAGGCAGGTCATCCTGGTAGCTGAATCTACCTTTCCACAAGGTGATCGGTTCATTGAGGACCAGTTGCTGGCCGCAAACGTATACCTCCGCCATGCGGTCGTTAAGAAAGTTTAGGAGTGGGAAGTTCTTCGCTTTGGCGTTTGCCGTCTGTGGCTGCAATGCATCGAAGTTAAGGCACTGCAAAAGCTGCTGATAACGTTCGAGGGTCATCTTTCCAGTGAAACCTACGAAACCGTAGTACAAGTTATTACTCCAGTAATCCGATACGTGCGGGAGCTTCAGATCGCTCATAAGCAGGGAGAGTGCCACAAAGGTTTCCATTTCCTCGGCGCTAGTTGACAGGGATTTGGATGCTCCACCCTTTATGTTACAGCTTTGGGCTAGGGAACTAAAGAACTTGGGGCGACTGCCCAGCAGCTGGTTGAAGTAGTGCTGTGGGCATTGAAAACGTTTTCCAAATTTTAGGCCAGTTTGGCTGGGCGTGGGGAACTTAAATAACAATCTAGAGCCCGTCTGCTTGTTGCTCCATTCTGGGTCGTAGTCATCCGGTTCGTCTGATTTTCGATGAGGGAAATGTTATGTAAACTTAGTAAGGGGAAGGGGGAGCAACTTACCCTGACAGAAGACATCCGCCGCCTGGTAGTTAAGTTCTGAATAGCCATCTTCGTCGGAATCGCTCTCTTGGTGGTCCAATTCCAAGTGATTAGAGGTGGTGGCCACCTGCTGCTCGACCACGAGCTGCAGTTGGAGCTCCGTGAGATCCGGCTTGATGTCCGCAGTGATTAAATCGTAATCGGCCAACGCCGGATAGGCGTCCAAAGGTTCCGACTTGATGTCGACACTGCGCCGCTTCAACGGTGACCGGTGCTCATCCTGCCGCGGCTTTAGCTGCTGCTTGCGCTTTCTCCCGGAGCTGGACATTTCGTCGGATCTGGATTTCTTTTCAAAATATTGTGAACGGCAGAAATTTCTGCCGCAGCAACGCGTGTTTTTCTTCGACCTCTCTGATTCTCGCCCTCTCTCGCTCGAGTCACATGTGCTATAGGGTGTGCTCTTTCGCACCTTCTCAATTCATTGCTTGCGCGGGCTACCGGTGGAGTTGCCACCATGTCGTAATTTTTTAGTATAAAATCGGTGGGGAATTTGAAATCTAATATGATTTCAAAATATTAGTATTATTGTTCTACGAAAAATAATATTTTAATTTTAAAACATTGATATAAATAATAAATAAGATTTGGCATATAATTATTTAAATGCACAATTTAAGAAAATATCTTGATCATCACTTTTCAATCTTTTTGTAGGAGGACAGTGGTTCGGCGTTGACATCAACAAGGAAGATATCTCGGACAATTACGAACAGTGCGTTTGGGAACCATCGATCATCAAGATCAACGCCCTGACAGCGGCCGCGGAGGCAGCCTGCATGGTCCTTTCCGTTGATGAGACAATAAAGAGTCCCAAGGCCGGTGAGCCCCCGATGGCGGGCGGCGGCATGGGAATGGGTCGCGGCATGGGCAGGCCCATGTAGATATCATTCAGAAATCCAGAGAACTCCCCAAATCATCAAACCCACATTTTCGCATTTCTCTCCTAATTTAACACGTACACGTATTACTCGGTCATACCTTCGCATTTTGCACGCTTCGAAGCAAGAACAACAGCAGCAACAATAATCCACTGACCTATCTGTATATGTTTAATAATAAAAACAAAATTAAAAACAATATTTTCATAACAGAATAAAAACGTTTATATTTTAAATTGGTGGTGGCGAGGTGGCAACTCGACAGCTAGTGCTGTTAAGCTGTTGACGTGCTGTTAGGCGCAGGCAACAATTTAATTGTTGATCCAATCCGTCCAGTAAATAAACAATAAATAATGGGCAATCACAAGGTTCTCCGGTCGGCTGGCAGCAATCTGCGTTACTCGATGTACGAGTTTATTGAGGCAGTGCACAAACGTTCGATTATATGGGAAAGAAGACATCCAAACTTCCACAATCGTGAGTTGAGAGATCAGGCTTGGCAGCAAGTTGGACAGGAACTATGCACAAATTTTGAGGCCTCCAGTGAGCCGGAGAAGCAGGAAATTGGTGTGTTGTTATCTAGAAATCTATTCACCTAACTCCATATTACATATTTATTGCTATCATAGTAAAAACCCTGCTCAAACGTTGGAAAAACACAAGGGACAGCTATTTGCGGGTCAACCGGCTACGACAAAGTGGCGAGGAGGTGTCCAGGGCATCTTATATCTACGAAAAGGAGCTGAGTTTCCTCTTAGACGTTAAAGCCGAGTCGGAGGACGATGAGGAGCCCGTGAAGAAACCCAAGCCCCAGATGAAAAGGAAACGCACGACTGCCGCCAACAGATCTGCAAAAACGCCAAGAAGGAGGAACTTCGGACAGGAATCGAGTGTAGAATCCGCTACCAACAGCCCAGCCATTTCGGAAAACCTACACTCGGGTCTGGATGATCTGACCTACACAAGCGAGGATACTGTGCCCCCGGAAATCACCTCCCTTCCTCAGATTCCCCTAGATCCACCCTGCAGTACAAACACCACGTCCACATCCGCTGATCCCGATCAGGCCTTCTTCGACACCATTAAACCGCACATGCAACGAATGTGCGCCGATCGCAAGCTCGACTTTCAGATCGAGGTTTTGAAAATACTTCGCAATTTTAAGCCGAATTGAAAAATAACTAGAAATTAAATCATGTTTTTGGCTTTGCATTTACATTAACAGCGGATTTAGTTAGCAGCAAGTTAGCATGGCTACTAGGAACAAAAATAATCGTTATCGAACATCGTTAAGGGCCTAGGGCGCGATATTTGAACATTTCGTGCTGTAAACTGTAATATTACATTTGAATTTGTTGATATCTGCAAAAATTGATTGAAGACATCATCTTGATTGTTATTGTGCGGTTACAGTAATTACATAACATACAACCAGTCGGTTTTTACAATTTCAAAATTGTTGCTGAATAATTATGGTATGAGAAATTGTTTTTCGGATTCCAATAGTCCAACATGTTACTTTTGGCCATTGTCCAAACTTAAAAGAACACTTAGGGGTCTTCGTTTCGAGTTGATTAACGAAATTCTAAGGACCATACCGGAATGTCAGTTTTAGACATGCTCCGAGGATTTAAGAAATTTTCGTACTTAATTATATTTAAAGTGGTTGCTATTTATTACCCACATTAGAGTAAAAGAGTTAATTAGTTTATAAGTCACAGGGCAACCAACCGATTTATTTTAACATAATTTAATTAATATGTTCGAAATTAGGTATTATCTAAATCTAAAATGATTTTTTCATATCCATATAACGACAATCAGTGTTAAAAAGTCAGAAATATTGTATCTGAAACTAAAATAATTTATAAAATATATAATTGTATTTTTTATTCCCTGTGTTCTACTTTTTTTCCCTACCCTATTCCTTCCTTTTGCCGGATGCTGGCTTAATACATATCGCCAGCAGCGAAATTTTAGTACAAGCATAAACTGTCAAAAAGATACATAAGCCATCGGATGGCCTGTGGTTCGAAGCGGTTCGACCAGTTTCGGTGGATGTTAATAAAAAAAAAAGAGCTTAAACCTGTATTCATACAGCTTGTCCCTCTTATGCCAATCGAGTTTCCATTATGTATACAGATTTCTTCATGGTTTTTGCTCAACACAAAGGCAAATTTATGGATTGTTCGAGTGTATTTATAAGTCGACACTTCATATGGCACCCCTAAAAAAGAAATCGCTGAAAAACCGTTAAGGAAGCCATAAGGGTAACTCCGAGATTTGGACTCGGTGTCGCCTTTCAAGCGTTCCACGCTGTTGGAAGTTTCCTGAGTACCTACAATGGGGGGTATTTAAACGTTACCCCGAAAACCCGCCCCCACACTCCAATCTACAAATTTAACTCATACTGCCTTGATAATGCTGTTCTTCTCGGGTCCCTCACCCCATTTTCCCACTTAACTGCATATGGTTTTTGTTAGTGGTTGTTTCGGGTTTCGGAAATTTCAGTCTGCGATCGGGACCCTACCCTCCACTTCACCCATTAGCAACGGCTCTGGCAGCTGTTGTTCACTATTAAATGCTCCCTTAGATCCTCAGATCCGACTACCTGCCTCTACTGAATGGAAATACACTGGGAAAAGAAATGTCAAATAATTTTTGGAATGTAATGCTTTTCTTCCAAATTCCTTCGGCTTAACTGTGTCTACGTGGATTAGAACTTATCAGACAAAACTCGGTGCTTTTTTCCTTGATAGGCAATTTATCAATTTTGCTAAATTTGTACTTGCAATTAATTATTTTGTGATAAGTACTTTGTTAGGAAAATAACAACAAAAGCTGAATTTAAAAAAAATATAAAAAAAATACAAGTAATGTTACATAATAACTGTCATTAAAGAATTAAAATAAAGTAAAAGACTGTATTTTTTAAAGAAATTTACTTAAGACTGCTTGTAATTCTAGGTCTTATAATAAGGCTTACTTTTCGATTAACAAACTATTTTTTGCGCAGTATATAAAGGCATTCCCAGCGTGTGTAACGTATTTTCCAGCCCTAACGAAATCGAGCACCATAGGAGATTTGGGTTTTCTTCCCCTGGAACTCTGTTCCCTGGCGTACCTGTAGCAATTCTGCGCATTGCAGTGAAACCGAATAATAGACAGGAAGTCCCTTCGATGCCTTTTATTCCTTTCAAGGGTCGTGCCGCCCTAGTAGATGATTGTGTAGGCGATTGTCTATTCCAATGATGCTGGTCTTTGTCCTGTCCTATCCTAAAACTATATTCCTAACAAGGTCTCTGGGCCTTAGGCAAATTAATTTGGATCAGGTGGTGTTATCCAGGAGAACCACCTGCGTGATTTGGTATCTTCGCCAGGCATTCTCCGCTCGTTCTAAATATTCACCGATCTCTTGTCGTTTGTTGGGGAGATCATACTTCTCCAGAGCTAGCTTTAGGAGGACATACTCAAGGCTACGGATTCCTCCGAGAATGTTCGGATCCCTTAGGCTATCCACCAGAGTAACGAACTTACTGAGCAGTTCTACTAGTTGCCCAAAGTTGGTCAAATTCTCTAGGGTGGCATCCACATCGTTGACATAACGCAAACTCTGTTTGATTCTTTTGGCCAGTTCGGTACTTCTGCCCGCTAAGGGTGACAGCTCCTGGTTCAGCTGCTTTACCGAATCTCGTGTATCGATCACCTTTTGCAAAGTATCCTGATTGTACTGATCCTGATCAGTCCACTGGGACATAGGAGACTTCGTAGAGGTCTCCACATTGTCCACTACCGATATCTGATTGTTCTTCACAATAATGGTCTTGTCGATCAGCTCAGTCGAATTCGGTGGCTTCTTCACATGGAAATCCAGGGAGAAATGGAACTGCATGTTGCCCTGCAAGGATCAGATTTTAGTTATGAATATTCCGATGAAATTGCATCACCAAAAAACATGCCTGGACGAATGTTAGTGTTCCTAGAACAAACAAAATACTCGCAGAGAACCACATCTTGCCGGGGAACTGGAAAATGTTTGACTGATTCCAAGTCTAGATCTCTCGATCACACCACTCCATACAATCCAAGCTCGCCATCGGAGCTTATCAACCGGCGGGGTTATCACACCATTTCCACTTGACCGATAAAAGATTCATTCACTGAGTTTTCTACCAATAGCCAGGGCAGCCCTCGGCGGGGGGAACATTTTCCATTGCCAGACAAAGCACAAGTCACGTGGTCGCTGAGATGAAAAGTGAATACAATGAGGTGAGCGATTGCCAACTCAAAATCATTTCAAGGTGCTTGGAATAGCAAATATAATTTGCTTAGAGTTTCGAAACAAATATGACCTTTCTGAAAACTATTAAGTTCTTTGAACCAAGTGAGAGGCATAGAAATCAACATTATCATTGTGAAGACTAGAGACATAATACATCAAATAAATAATGTATTTAAAAATATACAATGGTATATTAAAAACTTGATAATTTTATTTATTTTTGCCATATCGATTTTACGGGAGTATACTGTATGAGTGACTTAAGTGTATTGCTCTTAGCTATTCCTTATATATTCACGTTTAAGTAAATGCAAAATCTATTTATGTAAATTCATTAATGTACCTCGAGCTAGACAGCTGACATTAAAATATGTAAGTGCTATTAATATTAATTAGGCATGGCAGTTGTTATTTTCCTTTGTGTAATAATAATAATAACTATCACAAATGATTATTAATATCTAGATAAAAAGGAAAAATGCATAGAACTATAAAGATAATATGAGTACCATCAATGTTTGGGATCTGAACACCATTAATATTAATTTGCGATAAGGGCAGACCCAGCCCAAAAAAGTTTCGCACGTGGAATACTTGAGTACATATTTAGATATCTAAAAAAACAAGTTCTTTGAATTTTAGCCAGACTTTACTTACATATGTACATACATATATACAAACATATGTTTGTATAATGAGTTTGTCCCATTACCAAATTGGTTCCCACGTGGAGAGCCCACATGATTGCCACTGTAAACTGGATAAATGTGATATAAAAGTTTCTATGTGGCCTGGGTAATGCCTTATAGCCCGCATGGTTATTTCGGTTCCGTGAATCATCCACCTTTATTCTGTTTTTTTTTTTTGGGAACTCATTTCACAAAGCCATTTCCGTTACTGTGAGTCTCTGCCGAATTTCCGACTCCCTCAAGGGTTAACATCTGCTCGATTGCTTTGCTTATCAGCCGTTTGAGGTAACAACAACCATTCATATCACTTTTTTCTGTTTACGCGTGCAATAATAATTATAATGTACACAGAGCCACTATAGCGATAAGGTGCGAGTGCTATCAGGGTACGTACATATGTACATCCATATATACTTTTTTATATTATAGTCTGATGTTTGTTTGTGCGAAAGTATGCCTTAATTTAGAAAATGGTATCAAAGCAAAGCAGGGCAGTTCATGAAGCCATGGCGATAGGGGCAGCTAAGGAAAAGCATAAAAAGCGAGTATGTGGGAATCAATAGTAGAAATTGCGCAGCAAAATGAAATTATTCCACTGACTTGAAAATAACAAAAACAAAAAAGAAGAAGAAAATAAAATAAAATAACCGTTGACACACACTCACATGATTGCCCCTAACATATTCACATTTTTACACACAAAAAAAAATATGATAATTTTGAAACAGAAGTATAGTATAAACAAAACGCCAATGACGTCCGCCAGCTGATAATTTTCTAAAAAAAAAAGCTCTGATAAGCAAAATAATTAAACAAAAAGCTTCATAAAAATAATAAATCTAAATTGTACCCTGAGTAAGCAAAACTGTGTCTTAGTAAACATTTTATAAGAATTTACATTACATTCTACTTGATAGATATTTTTCTTTTGTGTGCTCAACTTATTTTTATATTTTGATTTTTCTTATTTTTCTCCCAGCATTTGCGTACTTTGCACGCATAAGCACACATGGGTGTACAAAAATACAAGGGGATGGGGTTGGGGGATTGGTGATTGGTGATTGGAAGATCGGGACCAGGGGGAGGTAGGAGACCAAGGGGTCGTCAGAGACCAACGCACAAAACTTGTAAATACGAACGTCACCCATCTCGTTCTACAAATATCTCCATCCCGTTCCGCCAGCAGCGCCTGTGGCGGCACAACGTGAGCATTTGGATGTGTGTGTATCTTACAGATACCAATTGCGTAGGTATAGATACATCTACCAGGCCCAGTTCGAGACCAGTGCACGCAACTTTTTGTTTTGCCCCGGCGCGTTGTGATACCTCACATAACCCGTTCCCAAAGACAGGGCATATTGGGCATGTATCTACATAATGATTTATAATTGCATTAGTACAAATTACTCATAAGATATATATTTTAAGACTACATTAATCATAAATCATATTCAACACTAAGCAGCTTTAAAAACTTTTTAGTAAACAAATATTTTTACAGAACCAATGAACGTAATTCGAAACCTCTGTTTATTTGAATTAAATTTCAAAGTGAATGAAAAATAAACAAAAAATCCAATACCTAGATATCCCAATTGTAGATTACTTTGCCTATCTATTAATTCCAATAATAGATAGTCGAGTTTAAGGTAAATAGTTATTAAAACCAGATCTTCCACTTGAGCAAAATTATGTTTAAATACCAGTCAAGAGGTATACACGTTCTCATAAAGTCACGTTTTCAAATGATTTATAAATGTTTTTTCTTTGGCTCTTGGTTTTTGATTTTGTTTTTCTTCTTTTTTGTTCATCAACAATGGAAGCTCTCGCAATCGCAAATTCAAAACGGACGTGAGAGCAAGAGGCGAAGTAACCCCCTTGCCGATCGACCCCTCGAAAGTCCACTATCGTCGTTGCCATTTATCGTTTGCAATTAGCTTAAGCAGAGCGCCATAAAAATAAAAGAGTAGCAACAAAAAGCAAAACCAAAAACAAAATTGTTTACGCTTTTGATTTGCCTTAAGTTTGAACGTAGACATACAGACATCCATGGTATCGAAAGCAACTAGTGACGATCACACCTTCAACTTTATAAACTTATTATATCAATATTGTATTTAACAAAAAATTATACATTAGATTAAATGATTTATATTTGTTTTGCATTTAACACTCTGACAGTGTCATGGAGTGATTTTGTCTTTGGGAGACAATGTCATGGTGTCAAATGCGATTTTAAAATGTGCCGTTATATTTAGAATTCTCCTTTCTTACCTTCTCAGTGTGTTTCGGCACTACGAAGGCGGCTGTAGCCAAAGCCATACATAAATAAAAACATATTTATGTAAAAATGTATGTAACTATTTCGTTGAAAGCATAACGAAAAATAAAACAGTGCGGGCCTCAGCATAAAACGAAATCAACAGGGAAAACGCTGGCAATGCTCAAATATGGACATAGGTACGTAGTACTTACATACATCATACATATGCGCATACATACAGTTATTGGTATTCCTTGGACTTCTTACAGTTCGATTGAAGTTACGAACGTTCATACATACACAATTGTGTACCTATCAACGTACATATGTACTTGAGAAGTAGCGAAGCGGTAAACAACGGCACCGAATTCAAAACCGAAGCCCATTGCCAACTTTGTGTGTTGTCTGTAAATCCAGTTTTCTTTTGCGACATCGTTTATAAAGAAATCCCAAAGCGGCGAGGTAAAAAACAGAAACATCAAATACAGAGAAACAAATAAAAAACAATTTGATGAATCATTCATATTAAACTCAAATCTGTTTTGTGGTTCAGCAAAGCATGTGAGAAATTATCTAGAAGGGGGTTTTATATAGTAAACTTAGTATATAGTAAGAATATATTAAGCAAACTGATCGAAATGTAATCATAGTTACAATATATTTGTTTCTCTGTAAAGCGGGAGGTGCGAGATGAGGTGATTCGAGGCACGTTCACCACTCACAGTTTGGCGTCTGTTTTTTCTTCGAGCAACCTCTAGAGAAATCCACCTAGATAATACTAGTTTAAACTGCCAGTGAGTCATATTCGTGTTTTGCCCACTTACCTCTGAACTAAACTGATCCAACCGCTCTCTCCACTGTCCTCCTTCTTGGATCCACAGTTCGGTTTTTGGGGTTCCATTGAAAACGCAGTTCCTAACTCTTTTTTCGAATTATCCAAAAATGTAACCATATTTTACTTAAGCTTGATGGAATATTCTAATCAGCCAGACTCTATTTTTGAAATTTCTATTAAAATTTAAGATAGTTTAACAAATTAGTTTCGAAATTCTAGGCTCTATCAACATTTCTCAACTAATTTGTTAAGTAATGAAAATTCATTACGTATCGCCGTTGACACACCAAAACTCAAGAAGTGTTTGCCTTGACTCATTTTTCTTAATCGGAATTTTAATTTGGTAGCTCTAATCTAATATGGTTTTATAGTTTTTTTTAGTAGTTTCCCAAAACTGTGTAACTGTAATTTGAATTTAGCCCCAAAATAGAATCATAAAAATGCGAGCCTGGCTGAAAAAATCGAATTTTGTAAATGGCATATGGATTTTCGACCTGAAGAAGTTAGACTGCATCTGGATCTCGCTGGGGGGTTCCATTGAAAACATTTTTATCTCTTTGTTCACTTTTTAGGGGATTTGGGGAAGGTGGATGGGGTGGGAATGGGATTTTGGGGATTTAATGACTGGCTAGGGTGCTCTTGGGAAGGGGATTTACATTTTGATTGTTTGATCGTTAGGCAATTGTTGGGTTTGTTTGAGTTTTAACTTGACTTTGATGCTTGCTGAGCTCACTTGCTAAGATTTTATCGGTCTCATATCAATATATATATATATAATTCTTATACAATCATTGTTTCTATTTTGTGTAGTGGTGTAATAAAACCTTTAAACATTTATCGTTATCATGCTGACTGCTTGTGTAAGAATCTATAAAAGGCTTAAATGTTGTTGCGCATATAAATTTTCCCAACTCACAATGTCAATTATCGATCGCACTTATCGGATAAGTTGTTTTAAATGGATCAGCCGATCACAGTTATGATTACACAATTATTTAGGCATCTAAGCAGAACTAACATAGGAACAATCAGGATAGTTATTCTCATAGAAACGGAATTGAAAATGTCTTGTGTCACGTCCGCAGGGGCCTTTGTGCACCCCTTCGGCTCTGTAAAGTTGCTTATCGTTTTATTTTTTAATTCGTATGTCGCTATAATATCTGGGTGTTTGTGATTCGCTGCACAATTGCAGCTGCATTTATATACTTTGCATATATAGTACTACATACATTCGCCTTTGTTTCGATCATCGCCTAGTTCAGCGCTTTTTGTTTTTCAATTTTGTTTTGATATTCTTTTTGATAGAAATCGTGCTGCAAACTTAAAAACATGTGAGAGCCTCGGTAGTGGAATTTTTCGGAGCACATGTTGTTGTTCGTCTCTTCTGGAATGTTGTGGTGGGGGGCTATAATCTAGGGGATTGCCGATTAGCTCTGAAAATAAAATTGCCAACGAAAAACTGTACGTGATAACGCAAATGAAAACACAAATTTGAGGTTTTTTTTTTTGTTAATTATACAAAGCTTTAATAAATTACTTTACGAAAGCCATGTACAATTGTTTATTTGATTTTTTTTTCTATTGTTTTGTTGTTGGTTGGTTGGTTTTGTGGGGATTTCGTTTTTTCATCTTCTTCATTCAAATGTTAAAAGTTGACTTGGATTTAACACAATTCCAATATTGCTTTACAATTTTTCTCAGATTTTTATTCACAATCGTTTCTATAATTACAATATTGAATGGCGAGTTAGCTCTTCATGTTCGCACATTCGTCTTAATAATGGTCCATTTAAGGTAATTGTGTGGGTTCTTTAATTAATTAAACATTTTCTCTTCAGTTGTGTTCGTTTTTAATTTGTATATATACCAGGTTTAAAAATATAGCAAAGTATCACAAAAAATTGCAAATTAAATTGTAAATTAGATCAATGGAGAAATTAAAAAAAATACATAGTGCTTGGTTGCTTTCTTTTCATTGTTTTGTTTTATGTTGTTTTTTGAACGACGAATCATATATTTCGGCTTAAATAAAGAGGTTAAAAATAATATTCGAACTTGGTCGAATCGTCGTCGTTACGCTTTAAATTTAAAATAAACATGAATTTAAATTTCTCTTCAGGGGCCGATCCGCAGTTGCCTTGGTTGGGGGCACAAACGCCTTGGACTCGCATGGAGAGCTCCGCGGTCTTGTTTCGGGCTCCGAACTTTGAAATGGAAATTAATTTGTACTGATTGGTGTTGAAAAAGTCGGCGGGCCGTAACGTTTGTGTCCACGGTCCAAGGCAGAGCAGGCGGATGTTGGCCCTGTTTTGGTCTGTTTTTAATGGTTTTCTGTTTTCTTTTTTTGTAACTTTTACAATTAGGAGTTTTGTATCTTTCCTGCTTCAATGAAATCTAAGCTGTTCTCGGCTTAAACTGACGTCCAGTAAGTAACAAACGTTTAGCTTACACTTTAAAAAAATGCAAAATTCTGCGCGACAAGTTTAGAGTTCATCTGTGGGGTGTGTATTTTATATGGGGCGGGCGTGGGTAAATGGGGTGGAGGGGACGAGCTGGGGATTTCCCGAGCACTGCTCGAGTGACCTTCGCTCAGTTCAATACTCTAAGTAGTGGGTGTATGTATGGGGTGTACTTGTAGTGTAACTTGAAGATACAAGCTTTAAAGCTACCAATATATGACAACTTGCTCAGTAAACCTAAACAGTACTTGACTTTTTTGGCTTTTCAACATTTTGTTTTAAAACTATCATCGAGTGTTTTGTTATAGTTTCATCTTTCTCTATCTCTCTCTCTCTCTCTCTTTCTCTTTCGTTCTTTCTTCATAATTTAGCTGTTTCAGGAAGTTAAACAATATGCGTAAACAAAACTCAAATGTGTTCTTATTTCTGGGTATTTCCACTATCAATTACGTTTTGGGGGTTCTTTTTGTTTTTGGCTTATCACTTCGGGGCCAATTCATTTGGCAAAAACACATAACAAAACTCACTGCCTCGCTGCCTCTTTCTACGCAAAATACAAATAACTTTGGATTGGTTTTGGGAACGGGAACAGGAAGTGTGGGATGGGGGGTTGCTTAAATAATTTACATACATATTAATATTAACAATTAATAAGTAATGCTAATAATGAAAATAAGGTACTGGGTTCAAGTGTTTCAGTATTGAGCATCAACGAATAGTTTACATAAAGTAGTTTTCATTTCTTCATCCTCATCTCGCGATATCTATATCTTTTCCTCATGTAAAGCCTTTGCTTTGGGGATTGCAACTTATATAGTTTCGTTTGTTTTTTAGTTGTTTTCACAATTGTTTCCGCTTTAGGCGCAAGATCAAACATATTTTGGAATAAATAAAATCTTGCTTGCGCCGATCGCGTTCTACTACCACATTTACAAGTGCTGATCGATCTTATTCTTATTGTTTATCGATTTATCGTTTTTAGAAAATTTTATTTGAACATTTTAGCGTTGTTCTCCTTCTTCTTCTATGTACAATTCAAGAATGTTTAAATTAGAATTTTTTAAAGCCATTTCGCAATTACAGTTTAAGAATAATTACACATGTTCGCATATGTAGCTCAGTATTTTTTGGGCAATTGCTTCTCTATCGCGACGTAAAACTAAAAGTAATGGAAGTATCTAGGTAGGTCAAAAATTACAATACAATAGTGGATCAATATATCTTAAGGTAGAGGAGAGTTGTTATAGATGTTCTTTCATAGGCAAGTTGAATGCATTTTGCGCTGCGGCTCTGGCTGCTGTAGCTCTGCTGCGGCGGCTGCGTTGAGTTTTTGTCGTTGAGTTTTTGTTTTTGAATTAGTCTTTGTGATTTGGTGGGTATACGATTTATAGTAGTTGTATTATTATTATTATTATTATTTAGTTATTTAGATATTATCGTGTCTCTTGAATATACTCTGTTAGCTTTTGCTTTTGCTCTGCCTTCTGCATTTATTCTTTATTCTTTATCAACATTTAAGGTACGTTGCACATTTTGTCCGCTTTTCGGGGGATAAACATAAACTGTACGTTATGTTGCGCTTCTAGCGTCCATATTTTTGAATTACTCATAAATATTATTATATTTATAATTTTACTTATTAATTAATTTTCAAGTCTATTTGCGTATCACGTTTAAAACAATGTTCAGTTGTGAAGTATCCGTTGTTAGACATATAAAGTTCTCCTTCCTCTTCGGCTTTCCTCCTCCTTTGTCCTCTCTTTCGATTTGGTTTCTCTTAGACTTTAGCCAGGCTTCCGTTTGCTGTTGTTGTAGTTGTTGTACTGGTTGCAGCTTGTCGATTGGCTTTCTCTATAAAGTTTGCGCATTGAAGTTGACAGTGGTGGAGTATAAGGGGGGTTATTGTTCTATATAGCGGGGAATTTTGCATCTTTTTTGCTGTGTTTATTTGTTCTCTTTGTCGTTGTTGATGTTGTTTTTGTCGGTCGGTTGTGTGAGGACAGTTGTTTGTGTATTTGTATTTTGTTTACTTTCAGTTTTCCTTGAAACAGTTTTCGCTTTTCTCTTTATAGCTTCTCAAATTGGTTTTATTGTTTCATGATACACACTTGAGATCACAAACATTACTCTTGTTTTTTTTTTTTTTTTTGTTTAAAAAAGTTCAATTTTCCAGTTGAAATGTTTTCGCTTTTTTTGTAAAGGTTTTTTCATTTTGCATTTTTTGTTTTATATTTTTGTTAATTTTTTTTGTTTGTTTTATTTTCATTTCGATTTTTTTTTCGCAACTCATTGACGGGTTCGGGGTCCACCGGGTGTTCAAGCCATTCAAGTCGGTCCTCCGGATCCATCCTCAGATCCAGCTCTAGATCCAGATCCTGCTCCAGATCCTGTTCCTGCTTCGCTGCTCCAGACACTGATCCTCCAGCACCAGTGGTGTTACGACTGCACATTGAGCAGCAGCTTCAGGTTGTGCGTGTCGAAGTCATCGAGGAGGTTCCGCTTCGAGCGGCCAGTCTGCATCGGCACCTGGAACTTGGGCATCGACGGCATCGCCATGGGAAACTTTCCCTCCGACCTGGTTAGCGTCCAGTGCTGGGGCGGCTTGGGCAGCGCCGTTGGAGCTGGTGCATCGAAGCACTTGCTGCCCGCGAAATGCGTCAGTGCGGTGGGTATGAGTGGGTGCTGCTGCTGCATTTGCATCTGCTGCTGGGGCGAAATCTTGCCACCCAATGGAGGACTCTTCCTCTGCTTGCGAGCCGATCCTCCGGCGATTCCCGGCGAAAAGCCTCCACCCAAAATGGTGGCCGGTGACTGGCGCACCTGAATCGCTCCCTGGGGCGAACGTCCTCCTCCGTTTCGTCGGTTGTTGTTGGCAAAGAAGAAGCCACCGCCTCCCTGCTGCTGCGGCGACTGGCGCTGCTGCTGCTGCTTGCCCTTGGATCCGGTCGACTGGGATTGGGACTGGAGTTGCCGCTGCCTCTGGTTGGGGGGCGTGGCCAAGGAGGAAAGTCCCAGGCCAAGACCCAGACTCGTGGGCGAGGAGCTCAGGAAGTGGGTGTTATTTGTACTGCTGGCAATACTGTTGGAATGTGCAGTTACCAAGGGCGTTGCTGGTGCGGATGCTGATACGGATGTAGGGGACACGGGTGGGGATGTGGGCGAGGGGGTGGATGAGTTGGATGCGGAGGTCCCTGATGAGGCTCCCTTTTTTAATCGTATGGACTTGGTGGCCGATGCGGTTGTCATTCTGATGTTATTCCTAACGCTATTGTGCGAGTATGTCATAGTAATTTCTTCGCTTTCCGATCTCTGAATCGATCTCTCTTACTCTTCTCTCTCTCTCTTGATCACTTTCCTCTTATTAAAATTTCTGCTGTTTTGCCTTTTTTGTTTTTGGTTATTTCGCTAAATTAATGCTTAACGTTAAATATCACACGCACTTAAATCAATTCTTTATAAATCGAAACCAAACTCCTTCTGCTGCCGCTATTGAGATGATGTTGATCTAGCTGCGCCGCTCTGTTTTCTTTGGTTGCTGATAATCGCCGAAGATGAGAGATGCCCTCTTCCAAAAATTAAAACGAAAAGGGCGACGGGCGGCTGGGCACGTAGCTGCTTTTCCACTTCTCCTGGTTCTCGCGTTTATGTTTATGTACAGCTGCTGTTTACTTTATTTAGTTTTACTTGTAACGTTATGTATTGATTATCAGTCTGTTGATTTATCTCTTTTACTCTGTTTAAGCTATTCTTAGCTATAATTTCGCAAACTCTTCTCTGTTCTCCGCTGATTCAACTGCTCCTCTTGCATTACAAGCCGTGCTGATCCTGTTTTTGTTAGAAAAAGAATGGAAAAAAGCGAAAAAACACATTGAGCATTTGGTGCGATACATGTGGGTTACATTTTTATGGTCAAAATATTAGAAACAGCATCGAATTTCTGTATAAACCTACAATTAAAGGAAAACTTTTTCGATAGTCGCTATTCGGGGTTTAATGAAATACAGAAATATTATTAATAAAGACCAGAAAAAAATGTATTCTAGGGCATATGAACTTATTATTCTCGATTGTTTCGTAAGATAGATGTCGGCCATTTCAAAATTAAATCTGTTACAAAACTAATTACGGGAGAACTTATGCAAATCAAAGAAATATACCCCTATTTGTTGATATACAACTATATTTAAGGGTTAAAAGGGTCACTACAGCTGCATAAAAGTGGATTGAAAAAAGGTAATTGTATACCCTCTGAAACAGCATTAGTATATAACTGCATTTATGCAAGAAAATCTTGAATAACAAAAGAAATACCTTTTCAAAAGAAAAACAAAGTTGTTCTATTATTTTGACCGCTTTTGTATGTATGTATAATAAGAAACGGGAAACCCGAAAAGGGGAAATAAGACATGTAACGATTAGATTTCCAGGTAGCAACAACCTGTAACGTAGTGCTAACTACGTAACGGCTGCATTATCGCGTACATGTAAGTAGTGCGTGTGTGTATTTGTGCAGTCCGTGTGTGCTATTTACGTCAACAAAAGGTGTTTGTTTGGCTATTCTCGCAAACTGGGGACGTCAGAGGGTCGGACCCAGATATATACATACGAACGTACATACATTTTGCGAGAATACCTGAATTAATGAATCAACACATACATACACACACGCACAACGATAACTAACACAATTGCGACTTACTTTTTTGCCGTAGACCTTCTCACACTAACGAGTGTGCGTTTGTGTGTGTGTCGCAGTTTTCTCAGCCACTTCGTTATACAGATTCCGATTTTTCGACAAGCGTTATATACAAAATGGGTTGAGTTTGTTTTAAAAGTTTCCTTGATTTAGCTTTATTCACTTTAAAATGTTGCGGAAAATTGGTTTGGTTTGTTTTTTGTTGGTTTTTTCGGACTTTAGATGGGGTTTATTATGTGTGTATGTGTTCGCAGCTGTGTATATATATGTGTGTGTGTATTGTAAAATCACTTTCAAAATGGCGACGGGCTGGCTTCGTATTTATATATTTATATATATATAGATGTAATTCCGCTTAAAGCTTTCTCTTCACTTACAGACAAAGGCTCAAAAAAATCACACTTTCAACTGATTCTGATTCGGATTTTGTTTAAACTCTTATGTACACCACCGTCTATTGCGCAGCGTTTATTTCGAATTTTTATTTCCGTTATTTTTTCGCTCGCCAAGTACTCCGTTTTTTCCGTGTGCTTTTCTGTAGCCTCACTCGTTGTACTTCGACGCGTATTAAAATATTAAACGTTACACAAATATTTGATTTATATCACTTAACTTAGGACATTTACAATATGCGTTACATATATATTTATTTTTGTAGCAGAAATTTTAATCGATATCTTTATCTTCTTCGCTTATGCTTGTTCTTTGCGCATCGGTACGCTTGCCTCGAATTTTCCACCATGACTCACACAGGCGCACGGGTGCTCGGGCTTATATACCGCAAAACCCTCCCACTATTTTTTTTAATCGTGGCCATTGAGGAAAATACCACAAAATATACTAGAAATACGTCCTAGATGTGATATGACCCTAAAAAATACCACCGATAACAATTTAGTTTTTCTTATCGCCCGCAATAGCGCTAGTCATTCACATCATGTTAACTAACAGACATTTCCAAAAATATTTCCGCTACCTGCTATCGACAGTTACCTAACAGAGTTGCCGCATCTGCTGTTAAGAAAACCTCTAGAGCCCGGCAAATTTGAAATAGGTAATAAACGACAGCTGTCCGGTCATATTTTGAGTACTTTTATAAAATTCATTAGCTCTTAATCTGCTTTAGGGTTATGTTTTGTAAACCAATTTTAAAGTCGAATTTGGATTCCAGCGAACTAATGATCACTAACTAACGATCACCATGATTTGTTAGAAAGCCCAAATTATATATAATTATAAGTAACAAAAGGATTAGTAATCGCAAACTAAAAACATTTATGATCCACAGATACATCACGTTCTTTTCAGAGGCACGTATGCAATTTGAAATTGAGTCATTTAAACACAAAATTAAGCCAATTAAATTTTGACAACTTCCCCCTTTTGGGTATAATATCTTAATTTTAATGGTTGACGTTTAAATTGAATTCAACGCCTTTGCAATTTTATTGTCATATGTTACAGTTGCACAACCTACTAAATAGAGAAATAAACTGTCACTAAAGGTAAAAAGTGTAATTTAAATTATTATTTAAGGTTTTGATCTAAACAAAAAGTGAGGTAATAATTTTGAAAAATTTGTATATCTTTTCAAAAGAAAATAAAATCTATTCACTTTAGTTTCTGCGTTTTTATAAATTTTTAAATGGGGACCTTTGGTATTAAAGCATAGATTTGTAAGGATTTCCCTGGGATGTCCCGCAAATTGGATATAGAAAAGAGAATAATGAGAACCGCTTTTAACCGGCGACGTGTGTCACTCAAACACCGCCCATGCTCAGATCCAGCCTGATCAAACCCATTATCTATCCGAATTGCCATCTGGCGGGGGCAGAACTGCCAGAGCATCATCATTATCATCTCGTTGACCCACCATTGTTATCCCGCTGGCTGGGTACTCATATAAGCAAGTGCACTTTATGTTTACTTGTTTGTTTTTAATACACATAAGTCCCCGATTGTGTGGGTTGAGGTGAGCGATACGATTCCCAGCACACATACATATATTTGTCGCCTGACTGTCCACCTATATATTCTGTAGCTGTATCTGTGCTTGTTTTCTATTGTTCATGAGCCCGGCTTCGTATATAAAGGTGATCAATCTCGTTGCCTCAAATTCAGTTCATTTCTAACGCGACTTGAAGCCGGTTTTTGCGATTAAATTGTGTACATTTTTGATTTCGTGGAAATTTTGTTTGTTATTCAAAATGCGTTTCGCTCTGTTTGCTTTTCTAGGTAAATATCCATTTACGACTTAACACCTGTATAAATATACAAAAAGAGTGTAACATTGAGATAAAAAGAAACAATTGAAAGCTATAAAAATTAGAAAACTAATTTATAGTTATTAACACCAACCCATTGTCATTAAGTTAGTTAATGAACGTAACTAAATTTTCCCCTAAAATGAACTTTGAAATAACAGATCACTTTAACATATTCCTTTTAATATTTTAATTTTGAAAATAATACAAATTTGCCAAACTACGATAATTTAGCTTTGTGCCTGTTGGCATTTGTGGTGGCTTCTCCGGCCAAGGACAGCAAGAAGCCGGCAGTCGACAGTTGCAGAAAATCTTGCGGCGATGATTACGATCCCATTTGCGCTAAGGCCAAGAATAGCAGCAAGGAGAAACTGATCACCTTTGGTAGCCCTTGCGTTATGTCCAACTACAACTGCCAGCACGCCGACGATCGTAAGAGCTAGTACACTTTATCCATGCAATGTATGTAATCCAATTTGACAATTCACAGCATACGAGCAGAAGTCCAAGGGCGAGTGCGGTGGCGGAGTGAGCGTTCGTCTCTCTTAAATACAGAGTGCAGTCTAATATCAACGCGTATTTATAATTGAACAAATTTTACTAATGGTGCAATAAAGTGTTTACGTAATTTTTATTCCAACGGGAACGTTTTATTTCTCTTCAAAGCAAGCTTAGATTTAGCATAACAGAACAGATAATTTAATTAGCTCTTGGGATTACTTAGAATTCCCCTTAAAAAACACACACGTTGACATGCATTCATACAAGATCAGTTCCTGCTATCCGTTAGTATCAATGAAAGTCGTATTCTATACCCCTATGCACTTATCAGCAGTCACGCGGCCAATCTGCAATCAAAATCAAAGTATTAATCAGTTGGCACGAGTAGTTTAAGTGCAGTTGATAAGGTTTAAGAGAAACTAATCATTCGCCAATAAAATTTGAATATTAATATTTATCATATTACTGAACATATAGTTCCTTTTAACTGCTTTCCACTGTATTCACTCTAATTGACTCACCACTCACAGAGCTCTAGCGAATAATCGCATACTACGACCTAATGCCAAGTATCTTTATAGTATATGGTATTGTATTGTATGGTAGATTACATATATAGTTGTTTTTTTAGTGGCTGTTCAGAGATACGCTCCACTACATTCACAGATTCCGTTCTGCCCCTTAGTTGGCCTCCTTTTTCTGCTGCTTGACCTTGTAGTCAGCCAGGGCCGCCTTAATGGCATCTTCGGCCAGCATGGAGCAGTGAAGCTTGACGGGTGGTAGGCGCAGTTCCTTGGCGATGTCCGTGTTCTTAAGTTTGCCGGCCTCATCGATGGACTTTCCCTTTACCCATTCGGTGGCCAGAGAGCTGCTGGCGATGGCCGATCCACAACCAAAGGTCTTGAACTTGGCATCTATTATCTTGCCGTTTTCGTCCACCTTGATCTGCAATTTCATCACATCGCCACATGCGGGAGCTCCAACGAGGCCGGTGCCTACAGTAACATCCTTCTTGTCCAGAGATCCCACGTTGCGCGGGTTTTCGTAGTGTTCAACGACCTGTCGACAAAAATGAGTTGGTTAGTCATTGGGGGTGCTATTATCGCTCTTATCAATTTGCGTGCCTCCTGAAACGCTGTCTATCAAAACGACAACAAAGTCTATAATATATAGCTTCTAGATATTACGAAAGAACTTTCAGCGCGGCAATCGCAAACTGGTGGGGGTATGATTTAACTTACATTTTCATGATACAATGCTACCGGCACACTCTGCACTCGCTTCAACTGCGAACGCAGCAACCGGGAGGAGTTTCGCACCAGGGACATGTTGAACTAGTAATTGTCACACAAATAAATCAATAAAAAGACCAATTGTTGTGAAATTCGAAGAGAACGTAAAAACACGGAATACTGCGTGTTGAAACAGCTGTTAACGAGTGTGACCGTTCTGGAGACACTTGGAAATCACGCATACATCGGTGCCGATGGAAGGTCATTTTCTTTTTTATACCAACTATTAATAATTTATACATCTTTAAAAACATCAATTTATATTAGTTTTGTATTAAAAATTTATATGATTTAAAATATTTTAAATAAAACAAGTTGGTAATTGTATTTTGAATTATACTTTGGGATGGCAATGCTGCATTGCAGTGAGACCGTTGGGCTGGTATTTCGCCTGCTCACATCTACGGCCCTAATCAAAAGTTAAATATTGTCCACTATTTCTGCCAACTTCCTATATTTTTACAGCAGCAGACTATGAGATTCTGAAACGAATCCCCTAGGTTAATATAATATACACATCCAGTCATGACCTCACGGAAGCGAAGTGGCAGCGGCTCTACTAAGCGGCCGAAGGAGAAGGTTAGTTCAGAGGGTTTCTCGGTCTCCGCCCTCCGTGATTCGTGTTTTGCATGGCTAATTGGATACCATTGCAGGTGGTCTACATATACGAGCTGTTGTGCCGGGGCGAGGATCCCAGCAGCGAGAGTCCAGAATTCTGGAACGAGTTCTTCCTGCTGCAGCCCAATTTCGAGGCTCTGGAGAATGAGATCGGAAAACTTAACAGTGACCAGTTGCAGCTGGTCAAACCGAACCTGAACACTCTCTTCCAGAGGTGCATCGAAATGCTAGACACGGGTTAGATCAGTGGGACCTACATAACACAACCCAACTATAATTCTTTATTTTCCACCAGAAGACCATCCGAAACGCCTGTGTAATAGTCTGCAAACGCTCTGTTCTCTGTTTTATGGGATCTTCAAAAAGTCCAACGCAGATCCCACGTTCAACATCCTCAATGAAATCTTCGGCCACGAGAAGATGGACGAGTGGCTGAAGCTACTCATGCAGTATTGCAATCGCATCCTGCTGGGAGATGTGCCCGAGAATGCTCGGTTTATGTGCCTCAAACTGCTGCAGGTTCTAGTTACAGGAACGGATAATGTTAACCAGAATGCTCTCTTCGAGCACCTGATGAATCACAGCCTGTTCGACGCCTTCGTCCGGTTACTCAGCGATCCTACGTTCCGTACTCAGCACGGACACGATATCGTCATTCTGCTCACAATCCTTGTGAATTATCGTAAGCACGAAGCCACTAATCCCTACGTAGTTCAGCTCTCCATACTCGCCGATGAACTGGCTCTGAACGGGTGAGTAATCTAACCCATCTAGCAATCAGGTTAAAAAATAAGTGCCTTTTCCCTAAACCAATTTTTTGAATAAAACTAGGTCAACCAAATATGTAGATAGATAGATTAACTCAACATATAGTTTATGCATGTGGCAGCTGCTTTGGTTGACGTCATTAAGTTGACAACTTGCCACGAGCTGTTTTATCTAATTTCGACAGTAATCTAACTTTATCATATTTCCAGTTATGGCCAAATGATATCACAGTCGCTGATTGACTTTTGTCGTCAGTACATTCAGAGCCTTAACAATGTGCAGTCATCCTCCTGGTTCTCATCGCTGTCGAATATTGTGGGCAACATGTTTGTCTCGGATGAGGGATGCGAACGAGTGCAGCAGATTAAGGCTAACAATGGCCTCCTACTTGCTCTCTACGAGGCAGTGCACCTGAACAGGAACTTCATCACAACTTTGGCTCACACGCAGGCGGAGTCCAGTGCCCCGCCCTCACCGAGTAACACATTGAGTCTGGCTCAACCTGTGCCGGATTTATCCAATGCACCCATCATAGACATTACCCAGTATCCCACTAATCTGCTGGTGGCCGTTTTTCAATACTGCTCCATCGTAATGCAGGATAACAAGAACGAGTCAAGTATTGCCAATTTGAAGCTGTGTTTCCTCATCCTCACCTGCATTGCAGAGGATCAGTACGCCAACTCGATGATGCACGACAGCAATCTCACCTTTAAGGTAATGCTGCATCGGGCACAGATGCGTCATCGCAAGTTGAATGTGGATCGAGTTGGCAAATCTCAGCCATTGGCTGCCACTCTATTGGATCTGCTAGTGGAGTTCATTGTTTCACACTTGATGAAGAAGTTCCCCATGGAGCTGTATTTGCTCTGTATTGGCGTTATCCATCGAATCTTGTGCTACCAGAAGAGATGCCGAGTCCGTCTGAATTATCCATGGAAGGAACTCTGGTCGGCGTTAATTGGCCTGCTACGGTTTCTCGTCAACCAGGAACAAACGCTGGTCAAGAAGTGCAACATATTCCATTTGTCGCTGCAGGTGGTGAATATTTTCAATCTGTTTATCACTTACGGCGACACTTTCCTGGCCACCACAAATAGTTATGATGAACTGTACTACGAACTGAACCGCGAGGAGAAGGTCTTCACGGAAATACATGCAATGGGTAAGGGTTTTAAGTCCTAATTATAGTAACCAAGCTAATCATTTTATTTTTAGTTCTTCGCTATACAACGATGCCAGACTGCGAATACAAAGACGATGTTATCAAGCTACTGAATGCCTTGGTTAATATACTGGCCATTGTGAAGCACTTCCAAAACAAGATTAAGGAATGGCTTGCTGAACAGGGGCTTTCTACGCCCACGGAGGAGCAAATACTCGATGTGGTGCGCAAGAACTACGACCTCACGCTAAAACTGCAAGATTCCCTGGATCAGTACGAACGTTATGCCGAGGCGCCTTTGCATACCAATTTCTTTAAGTTGATGGTTCGTGATGTTGTCAATGATACGCGCAAGCACATCTACGGATATGTAAAGGAGGCCGTATCCGTAATACCCGACCAGGAGGTACTCCTCACCGCCTCAATAACATCCAGCTCAGCGGGAACCCCTACTGCAACTACGGCAACAGTAGTGCCAGAAGTAAAAGCCACGCCTGCCACGTAGAAAGTGAATATGGACCTCGACAGACTATCAGACTGTTTAATTGTTTCTTTTGCTTAGTTTTGTAATAGTATTTTAAATAATCAAATCTCTAGAAGCATAAACTCGATGTAATCTGTAAGATTTAAAGTGCTTTGCGGGTCTTTGTTAGATTTTGTTGTGAAGCAGTGCACTTAAAGGGAAAACATATATATTCTGTGCAAGTTTTTTACATACGTATACAAAATATATTGCGTGTATATAAAATATGCTACAAAAATGGCACCTTGTCACGTTTTTTTCACGATAATCTGAAAGGATCAGAAAGGGTCTAACGAGGACCTGTTTTTTTTATCTTTTACGGAGGTACGAGTCGTTCAGGTACCTGCATTTATGAACATATATATGAAGATAACTTTGAAAAAGGTCCTCAGTTTTCTTGAAACTACGACGGTGGTTAAACGAAAAGAATATTAGTTTTTATTAATTTTTGCCTAAAATTCGAATTAGTTCATATATCTTAATAATGGAAACCTTAATAACTTGTGATGTGTGCTTAAAGAATGTCAGCTTTGTGGAATTCGAAACACATTATAAATATTGTGTGGGTCAGCGTAATGCTTTTGATATTATAATGGGAAAATCAACAATGAACTCGCAAAACCAGATACTGTTATCCAAAGAAGCAGACAATAACAAAAGGTGCATTCCTTCGGATATGGAAATGCGTCATATATTAACAGATAAACAAAGAGTTTCAGCGGCTTCGGATATACAAAATAGTGCTAATATTTCTGAAATTCCGATGCAGTCTAATTTTCCTATAAAAACGTTTCGAGTTTACGCCAAAAACAGAGAGATTGTTCTTCAGGACGTGATAAATCAGTGCGATAATGACATTCTTAAAGTTTTGATTTTCTGCCTGGGCGAGTACAGATCAATAAAGTTTAATTTAAAGGTTCATGGATTATATGCTAAGGAAGATGAAGAAGGTGAATGTGGTGAAACAGTCAAAGCCTTTACTACGCCATATAAATCAGCATATGAAACCAGATCTCTCGTCAAAGAACTTGTTGATACTCTGGATTACATAAGATCTTCAGTCATTGAGTTTCAGTACAGAAACTACGATTTGTTAATTAAAGGTTTTAACTTTATTGAGATCACAGCAATAAAATTGGAACATATACCTGCAGCTGGGTTTGTATCGGCCCCTAAAGCCATAAAATGTAAAAATGCATTAATAAATGTAAAAAATAAAGATAATTTCTGTTTTAAATGGAGTATTTTGGCCTCTATTGCTCTAATAAGACATAATAATAAAAGTTTCCAAAATGTTGGGAAGAAAAAACAAGAACGAGAAAGATTAAACTCGCCTTTGCATTATAGAGGTGTGGACATTTCCCAAGATGTAATCATATATGATGGGATTAGACTGGATTTCACTGGAATAGTGTTTCCAATACAACTAGAGGGGATTAAACGATTTGAAAGCAACAACAACGAATTCAGTATTAATGTCTATGAAGTTGGAGATGATGGGAAGAGCATCGTTGGACCCACAATTAGAGCACAGAAAACTCGATCTCGCCATATTAACTTGTTGGCCCTGAATAATTGTTATGAGCAAACGATGCACCATGCATTCATCACAAACATGAAGAGACTATGTTTTTCACAACATTCTAAAGCCCATAATTCGCCAGGATTTTGTGAAAATTGCTTGCAGTTTTACCCATTAAAAACCAATAAACAACATAATTGTGATTACGTATCTACAATTTACCCAGAACCAAACACCAAACTTAGTTTTAAATCCAGTTCAAAATGCATCTCCCCACCCATTGTCATATATGCGGATATAGAGTCCTCCCTGGAATCTATATCGTCCGAGGCGTGGGCTGCTTCATTTTATATTGTTCATTACTACGAACCACGTTTAAATGAAATGCACACCTTTGATGGTAAGTAATAACTTAGTAGTAATCCAATTTAATCTTACTAATCAAATTTCTTTAGGTTCCGATTGCATTAAGAAGTTCTGTCAAGCACTGAAAGATAAATTGAGAGGGCTTTATTACAAATACTGGAAGTTTCAAAAACGAAACCATGATAGCGTTGATGAAGAATCGGAGAGGCTTGGAAAATGTGCTGTCTGCGGAGAGGAAATTAGTGAATGCTCCTTAGATATGTTATTCCATCAGTTTGCAGGATTCTATTTGGGCCCTGTCCACGTGGCCTGCAAAACCAAACATAGGCTTAATTATAGTTTCTTCCCTGTTGTTTTTAACAATCTAACAAGATTCGATATTAATTTATTAATTAGAGAGATGGGTAGAGAAGTTAAACCCATTCCCAGCAACCAAGATTTGTATACAATGCTAATTCTTAATTGTTCCATTAATGGCCAAGATCGGTTTCAAATTAAATTTTTAGACTCAAACAATTTCTTTAGTTACAACATAGACAAACTGATTAGCAGTATGAATGATAATAGTTTTGAAAATCTAAGAAAAAGATATAAAGATATGAAATTTGAGTTGATGTGCTTGAAAAAGGTGTACCTTCAAAATGCAGAAAGTCTTGATCAGCTAGACAATATAGTATTACCAGAAAATATGTTCTCGAATTGTCAAGATTATATAAATGCTGATCAGGTTTGGCATACTTTTAATTGTCAAAATATTAGAGATTACTTAAAAGTATATTTGGAAAGGGATGTAACTATTTTGGCAGATGTATTTGAAGACTTTAGACGCCTTTGCATAACGACATATGGATTAGATCCAATGAATTACGTTACAGCTCCTTCGATGGCTTGGGATGCCATGTTGAAAGTTACCGAGGTAAATTTAGATTTAATTAGTGATCCCGAAATGTTGAATTTTCTACAGAATGCAGTTCGAGGTGGGCTTGTTAAATGCAATCAAGAGAATGCAACAGCGAATAATGAATACTTGGATAACTTTGATCCCAGAGAGCCAACCAATTATTTAGCCAGCATTGAGGCCAACAATCTGAGTGAATGGGCCATGAGTCAGCCCTTGCCATATTCCAACTTCACTTTTTTAAATGACAATGAAATAGAAGAACTAGATATTAAAGAACATCCTTCAGATGGAGATGTAGGTTACATCTTACAAGTTGACCTCAAGTATCCATCTTACCTCCATGGCAGTCATAGCAGTATGCCTTTTTGCCCTGAAAATCAAGTTCTTCCAGGTGGAAATCATCAACAAGTTATAGCCAAAATCACTGACAAAACAGATTACATAATTCATTTGAAACACCTGCAATTGTGTTTAGAACATGGACTGATACTAACTAAGATACATCGAGTACTTTCTTTTAATCAAACTGCCTGGTTGAAACCTTACATTGATTTCAATATGAATCATATGGAATTGGCTAAAAATGAATTTGAAAGGCAGTTTTTGAAATCAATGAATAGCTTTATCATTGGTAAAGCCCTTGAAAATGTGGAAAAACGTTGTGATATTACCGTAGTCACACATTATCAATCTAGACAGAATTCTCCAGGATTTCGACAACGAGTTGCTAGAAATAATTTCCGCGGCGTGGAGATTTTTCCTAATAATTTGGCCGCAATTCAGTCAGTAAAGTCAAAAATAACCTATGATAAGCCATTGTACATAGGAGTTACTGTTCTGGAACTCTCAAAGTGGTTTATGTATGAACATTATTATAATTTTCTTTCTGTTAAATGTCCTTCATCTAAAATTTTATTGATAAACAAAAACTTATTTGTTGCTTCGTTAAGAGAAGACTTTTATAAATTGGTTGAAGAAAATCCACAACGCTTTGATACCTCTAATTATATTGTAAATGGCCAAAATAATGATGTAAATTTAATGCAAGACAAATATGCTGCTCAAGCTATAAAGGAAATTAAGGGAAAGCGAGTCTATTTAAGAAAATATTCATAGAAATATGTATTAATGTTATTATTAAGTTTGTTTATTAAAAATACATTACCTAAGTGATAATTTACCAATAAATAATTTGTATATGATAATTATTATTGTTGCTCTTTTATTTATTCCCAAACTTGCCACGTGTGTGTATAATCTTTAATACAAAAATGCGTATAAATATTTTTATAGTATGATTTTCATGTGGTTTTCTTGGTTATACAGGCGCGTGTATATGCTCTAAGGATATCGCTACGATTTATAAATGTTTATGGTATATATATATAACTTTTACATGCAATATTTGCACGCGATTAACAATTTGAATGCAATTGAAATGGATAATGGGTCGAAACAATATGCGAATATCTAATAAAATGTCAAATATATATATCATTTAAAATGCATTAAAATTATGTAAATATATATAAAATACATAGTTGCTTTAAAAATATACAAAATATTCGGTTTATGAAACTAACTTCTAGTCGCTTTATACAAATTTAACCTTTGCATTCGATTGATTAATTACTAGCTCGACATTATAGTTCGAAGGCAGAGCCAAATGATCACTCAAAGGCACAATTAACAGACAATTTTTGAATTAAATTAATTATATTAGAATTATTACAAGCAATGCCTAACGTCTACCTCTCTGCTGAGCTCATTTCGTTTGCCCTGGAATTGCGGCCTTATGGATATATATACTATATATATTTATGGTTTCATGAATCTATTTACAATTGCGTTTATCGTTCAAGTTGTCGGATGATTATTATAGGTTAGTGAATGCCGTGAATCTTAATGATTAGAAGTGATCCACCTTGACGGAGACCGTGTGGGCAGCGGCATTGCTGGGCAGGTCGATGTTGTCCCACTCGGTGTGCAGGTTCTTCTCGCTATCGGTAGCCTTCAGGGCCAAACCCAATGATGCAGTTCGACCGGCGCAGTGCGGTATATTGAGTGTAACCGGTACCAGGAACTCAAGGCCCTGCGGGCCGCACATCACCAACGGTGACAGCATTGTCTCACCTGCGAGGGTAAATATTAAGATTATTACTTGGTGATATAGAAGATTTCCTTGGATTTCATTGTAAAATGCAATTAAGAGTTGTGTTTAATCGAGTGTGGCAACAAATAGTGTAGGGTTATAGGAAGTGTAAGTGGGTAAAGACATTCGCTTGGAGACATTGGAAATAGACGTGCAAGTTGAGGTAATACTTAAAATCCTTGAAAAGGCTAACTAAAACTAGTTCTTGCTAGAAAAAGTGTAAAGAAAACATCGATTTAGTACAGATGTATATGGAATTACATGCAGAAAGCCGAGACTACGAGTTAGTAACAAAATATAAAACTAAAACTAATGGTTAAACTACATTAAATCACCAGCCACCAAAGGGAAAAGCTTAATCACTTAAAATATAATTGTTAAAAACATAAAAAACGAATAAATGCTGTAATAAAAAAAATCAAAAACAAAGACAAAGGTCACTGGGTTTGTGGTAGTGGCGGTGGTTTTTGGTGGATGGATACAATACGGAGTAGAGTGATTGTGTGTGTGTGTGTGTTTGCTGAAAGAGAGACCAACCATTTTCCATATCCAGCGGAGGACCACCAACGGCTTGTCCCATTCTCGGATCGCTCACGGTGAAGTAGATCTCCTGCCGCACGCCGGGCGGTATGGCTCCGGGTGGGATTTGCAGGGAGACATGCCACAACTTATCCGCCAATGTGCCACCATTCGAGTCGAAGAAACCACGTGAAGTGCTGGGCTCACGGGGCAGGTTGGGAAAGGGTCCATTAGTTGGAGGAGGAGCATTATTTACTGGTCCAGCGATGGGCAATGACATGGAACTGCTAAACGGGGTGCTGGTGGCATTTGGTGGACCCACTGGCAAGCTGGCTTGCGATGTATACTGGGTCTCGATGGAGGTGCAACTGTCGCCAATGGGCGAACTTGGAGGTGGAGCTGTTCGTTTTAGGATATTCGAAATGTGGAAGGGAGCCCGACCGGATCGAGGGGTCATCGGTTGAACCAGAGCTGGTGGAGGTGCCAAGGGAGAAACCTTATCGGCCGCCTCGAACACATCATCCGACACATTTTGAGTCTCACTGGCCAGCATTCCCTCATTGTGCTGATTATTCTCAATGGCCGTCGGATGCTCTGTCTGTTCCGCTGAACTCTCAGCCTGATCCTCCTGCTCCTCAACCTCTTCCGCATCCTCTTCTTCATCCACCTCGTTCTGAACAAGAGGAGCCCTTGCTGGATTCTCTATCACCGTATCTGAAGATTTCTGCAGATCAGATCGACTTAAGGTTGAATCTTCCACCTGATCTTCTGGCTGAGCATTGATCTCCACTTGAATCTGCTCCGTTTTGCCCTCTTTCTCCTTCTTTTCATCTGTTTCATTTTCCCGGGACTGGAGGATACTCTCTTCCCGTGTCTCATAGATGGGGGCTGGTCGGCCCATGTCCCTTTTGGACACGTAGATCGGTTCCGCCATGCTGTCCAAGGCATCCCGTCTAGTCTGGTAAATCTGATCCCTCAATTGGGCCCTCGTCTTCTGGGCACTTTCCTTGGCCTCCCTTCGACTCTGATATATTGCTTCCGGATTGGAAGCCTCCGACTGGCTGCTGCTACTCTGCGGGCTAAACTCTCGTTCCATATCCCTCTTGCCTTGGCTAATCCTCTCCTGCATTTCCCGTTTCGATTGATAAAGATGATTCCTTTGCATTTCCCGTTGCATTTCGCGACGTGATTGATAGAGAGGTTCCTCTTCGGTCTGCTCATTGGCAGCTCCAGGATAGAATCTCCTGCGGGTCATCACCTCGGAATTGGGTGCCCTGCGTTGATCCGGCAGCATGTAGGCTCCGTTGCGGGTCTGATAGATATCATGGGGATCTTGTTCGTAGCCTGGACTGACCTGGGGCCTTCTGGCCGGTCCTGGATTTCCTCCACGATCTGCTGTGGTAGTGCTGTGACGCCTTACGATTCTCCTTCCATTCCTGCCACCAGAAGCGGCAGCTGCCTCTGCCTGCCTCCTTTCCAGATCGATACAGGCTCGATTCGCATAGAGGTCATATTGGTCATAGCCATAGCCATTGTCCTGGTGATGCGGCATCCGAGGAACTGTGTTGCCTATATTCCCATAGATATCTTCTCCCTCCAGATTCTGGTAGGTGCTATTCATCATCTCCTGCTGCTGCGGCGGATAATGACCACCTCTTTGATAGTAATCATCGTGCGGATGAGGTGGCATCATGCCTTGTCCTTGTCCATGGGAACGCTCTTCAAAGCCAGCTGGGTACGTGGGATACTCATCTGGATAGTAGGGTCTCTGGACACCTCTCTCCAACATCGATTGCTGGCGGCGCAGACCCTTGGGTTTCCTTTCTGGTTCCACCATACTGTTCATCCTTCTCAAGGGCCTCGTACTCTTGAGCAGGGCATTCTTAAGGGCCACCAGTGGACTCTTCAGCACCGATTTCTTTTTCTTATGTGGTGGCAATGGTGGTGGTCCCATCTCCATGCCACGATCATCGTAATACTGCTGCTGTTGCGGATGCTGGGGATATTGTTGAGGATATTGCTGACGTGGCTGACTATGACCTCTAGAGGTTCCATAGTGACCATAATAGTTGGGATCTTGGGCAGGTGGAGGACGCTCGTGGGGATAACGTGGGGCTGAACGGGATCGCTGCATGTGATGCCCTTGGCTTGGATGGGCGGCAGGTGGTGGCATGTTATAGTAATCATCGTAGCGCTCATCGTACGGCTCCATCTCGCTAAAGATTCATTACATGATTCGGAATTTTTGTGTGTGATTAGCAAAAGGTTGGTTTGAATGGGTTCGATTCAGGGGGGGTGACTTGTGGGTGGTGTGTCAAAGCTGCAATCCCTGTATATATAAGGATTTTCATGGGAAAAACCTCAACACCGAATGTGGTTTTATTAAAGGTGTCACAGAACTTACATCAGGGAACATTTTGGAAGATGCTTTGAACTTGAGTTTCCAAAATCAAAATGAATTTTTAAAAATTTTTAACTCTTTAAAGAGAAATTCTGTGACACTGACATTGTAAATTCGGAAAATATACTTTTCCAGGCAAATTCCTTTCATTATTTGAATGCAAAATACAAAAATATTTAACAAACCTAACAAAATCGCTTTTTATTCCTGCAAAACTTTCGCTAAAGACACACAATAAGCGCACCAAATTGTTCAGATTAAATACTTTGCAAATTAACCAAAACTGTAGAGAAAAATAAACACCATTTACCAGTTGTTTAGACTTTAGTTTAAAGTAGTTTGTTGTTAGTTATGATTTGTTTTTTTTTTTGATTTTTTAATTCAAAAAGTTGGATTTACCCAGAACCGTAGTTAGAATCAAGATTAACTTTCAAATACCCGAGAAGTGGTGTTAAATTAAAAACAATCAGCTAAAAGCATGATCATAGTTAATAGTAGTACGAGTTTGAGTTTAAGTTTAAGTTTAAGTTTAAGTTTAAGAATAGAGAAATGTGGAATACGAATCTGTACTGTACAGTAGTAAAATGGCAAGTAGAAAAAGTTAACCCGAAAAATGTTTTATTTTCGTTCTCATTTTTATTTTTGATTTTCTAAGCGTGAAGCGCTCAACTTTTTTACAACCTCAGCTTGTGTTTTTTATTTTTTACAAATGTTTGTTAAACTTTAATTAAATGGTTTGGTTAATAATTTTGGTTATTGCAAAATACAATAATTATTTAATTTATGTAATATATGCGATCGGTTTTTGTTGTTGTGCGTTTTTCGTGAAATTTTTGCATCGAATAATTTTGTAATGACCAGCAACCGTATGAAATTATGATTGATATTGGCATAATGATTGATTGTTTGATTGTTTGATTGATTGATTGACTGATTGTTTGGCTGACTGATTTTCGATAGAGTATTGTAAAGTACAAAAATGGCATTTTCACAAGAATATAAAACATTTTTCGTTAACACAAATGTTGAAAATTGTAGTTGGGAGATCAAAGAGATTTCTGTGTGTATTTTCTTTTGTTTTCCTTTTTGGGAAAATTGGGATTTCCTCTTTGAGGAGGAGCAATGGATCTATCAGAGGGTAGGGATATTACAGGCATCTAACATGGACTCACCTCATGTTGTGATGGTGCCCAGCAGTGGCTCCGATTTGCGGTTTACGATAAAGCTCAAAGGCCGAGCCACGCTGCTCTCGACTGCCAGCCAAGTCCAGGGCATGACGTTCTGGGGTGTGAGGTGGAAGGTTTCCTGAGGATTAGGTAATGTCAAGAGTTAATCATAGAATAGAAACCTCTTAATACGAAATAGGCATCTTATATTCGAAAAACCACCCACCTATTGGCGGTGGCATGCCGCGATGAGGGGCAATATAAGGCCCTGTGCCGCTGCCTCCATTATAGTGATGACCATTGCCATTATAGCCATTGGCCTGTGGATAGGCTTGTGGTGGTGGTGCCTGTCCATAGTTGCCATTACTTCCACCGTATGTGGGCTGCTGCTGCTGCGGTGGAGGTGGCTGCATATGACCATTGCTGGGTGAGCCAGGAGTCGCCTGCTGGCCGTAATGATGATGCGAGGGCGTGGGTGGATAATAGAAGCCATTCGGAGAACGGGGTGAACCAGAGTCCTGAAATGGGGTTTATCAAAATGATGAGCATAAGATTCTTCAAGAATGTCTTGTTAAAAAACTATCAAAACTTACCCCATTCTCCCAAGGAGTTGTGCCACCGCTGCCACTGCTGCCGCCACTTTGCACTGGTGGCCTGTAGTTTTTGGGCTTCGGCGGTGGCACTGGCTTGAAGGGTCCACTGCCATTGCTACTTGGCGTTCCACTGCCATTCATCTGGTTTTGGCCATTACTAACATTCGGAGGAGGAACCACTCCATGGGGTGCCGTCTTAGGCAGCTTGGTGTAGTCCGCTTGCGTCACAGAGTTATTCCGACTGATGATTCATGTTCATGTTTGGTTTTTGGGATTGTGGATCGGTTGCGTATGGGTGTCAGTGGTTTTGGTGCGTGTGAGATTGTGTTTTTGTTTTTTAAGGACAAAACATTTGATGATGGCGAGCACAAAACATAAGCAAGAAAGAGAGAAAAAGTTCATGTAATTATAAGAAAATGTGTGGCAGCAATATGGAAAGTATATATAGTGCTTAGACGGCATACAAAAGTCGGGGGATAATCAGGTGTGAGAATATTGATTATTGCACTTTGGGTTTTGGACTTCTCAAAGGAGTTTTCTATTTACAAGATAGATTTGGAGGGTCCTTAAAGGGTTATGACATTCCAAAGGACATTCCTTAACGGATGTAACCACAAACTAAGGGATAAAAGATACAACTTCAAAGAATCAGGAATATATATTTAATCAAAGGTTATTTTTGAGTGCTATTTCGCATATAAAAAATCGTTGATTATTCTATAAACTAAGTTCGTTTTCGAATTCGTTGCTTAGACGAGCGTGTCGTAGGCCGAGGCACTGGACATCAGAGCAGGCGGTGGCAGTGGAGCCACCAAAGCATGCAGACGTGGTGCAGCAATGGGTCGTCTGTCATAACCGCCAGTGGAGAGACGTAAGAGCTGTTGCTGTGTCAGCTGAAGGCCACAGGACATGGGCAGGGGTGGCAGTTGAAGGGGCAAAGACGAGGGCGAGGGTGAGTGGGAGTGGGACAACGAGGACGAAGGTGAGAGCGAGTGCATCAAATGCAAGTGCTGCAAATGGGGCGCATGGAGATGATAGCGTCTAATGGGCCACAGGTACACATATATTAAGGAATTATCATATTTTTTTTTTTTTTTTTTTTAATTTATTCAAAACGATACAAAAGAATATTTACGACACAGTCGATAGAGACATGCGAGAGAGAGAAAGTGTGAGTTGAATATTAACGACGGCGCAGGAGAAAGAGAAAGTAAATTATATATTTTACAGTTATGACTGAGTCTTGAAAGATATATACATTCTCAGGGAGATATCCTGTAAGCCTCATTCTAGTTCTTACCTGTATTTGCCGTAATCCGTTTTGGTCTCCACCAAAGGCTTTCGTGGGCTGCTTTCTAGGCCCAGATTCGAGGGTCGCTGTGGGGTGCCATTGCGTGGATCTAAAGGGGAGGAAGTCATATTTTTTAGTCAAATGATTTCTTTAATATATATCTTTGTCCTTCTTAGATTTCAGAGTTAACTTACCAATATTACGGGACGCATTCATTTCATGATAGTGCGGCCTTCCAGGACTGCTCTGGCGATTCAGATCGTTGGCTCCTCCGAAACTGCGATGATCATGGGGTGTACGGCCATAGTCATGCGACTGACCCACCGGAGGCAAGGGGCGACCACTAAAATAATTTAAAATACTAATTAAATCTTATGTTAAATTATGTAAAAATCCCAACACTCACCTTGCATTTGGCACTGATTTGAGATCGTCTGGTGCATTGGGACCCAATCGGCCCAGATTTTGCATGGCCATTTGTGTATTATTATAAGAATCGTAGCTGGACACACTGTCGTAGGTGGATGCACCACCTCCAGTGCCTCCTCCATTGGCCTTTAGCTGGGCATTCAAACGAGCCTGACGCTCTAGGGATGCATGAGTTTGCTGCTGCTGCTGGCGATCCAAAGTCTCTGGGGCTCCAGAACCAACCAAAGCATTTCGCGTGATATACTCCGCCTGGCCATCATCCTGGACCACAGCCTTGCCAAACAGACGCTCCTGGGCACTACGACCTAGAGTGCCATTACGTGAGGATGAACCTGAAGTGTTCAATGGGATTTCACCCGGCTTGGACTGACGATCGATGCGGGGTGGCAGATCGGGTGCATTAATCCCGTACAGGGACTGAGGTCTCACTGCAGACGGATCACCAACGCCGGGCTGCTGCGGCTGCGGTGGCACATTGGTGCCGTAGATGCTGTACTTGCTGGAGTCCATGGTCTGGCGGCGATTGGGATTCGCTTGGACACCATGGTCGTAGGGTACCTGTGACAGGTGCATTGCAAGTGGGGAAGGTGAGTGGGTGGCGTAAATAGATTAGCACAGTGGTTAAACTGGTCAACAAAGTTGGAGTTCCACAAGAGTTTAGTTTTTAACATAAAGTTAGCAAACTTTTTCAAAAGACACCTTTAATGACTGGCCCTTGTTACTTAACTTTGTTGACCAGTGTTATTTTTATGGCTCTAAGATGGGCGCTTGAAGACATCTTAAGTTTTCCTTTTGTATTATTTTTAGTTAAAGCGCATGCTTAGTTTGTTTCTTAGTTGGAGTTTATTTTGGTTTTTGGTTTTTGGTTTTTGGTTTTCTCGACCTCTTACCGTATATGGAGGTGGTAGTCCTTCACCAATTATGTCTCTATCCCTATCCAAGTTATCCTGATTAGTGGCAATCGATGGATCTGAGCTCGCTTTAACCAACTGCGGCAAATTGCCAAGCGACAATGATGCGGATGGGCCGGGACTCAGTTCCAAATCAGATTCGGGACTTGATGCATACGATAGTCGGGATGTGGTCATGGGGAATAGGAAATCATCGGATAGGGATTCTACGGGCTGGGGTTTAGGATTTTTCGTATTTTGCAGATTTGCGGATTTGCGGTTGTGGTTGTAAGTTAGGCGCAAAAAGTTAATAGAATTTTTAGCGGTAGTTTGATAATTTTTTTTTAGAATTTCAAATTTAGCGCATTGAGAGCAACCAACATTTGTTTTTGTTTTTGTTTGTTTTTTTTTTTGATAATAAATAAAACGCAAGAACAGCAACAAGAAACGTAGATGAAACATTAAAGAAATTATGATTGATTCAATTGATTGATTGATTGATTGATAGAACGGCGTTCGATTGCGGATACGTAATGTGTGGACGAACACAAGATATTTGACATTTCGAATATATATTTCGTATCGATATTGGTGTTTAGTTTCAGGACGAGGACAGTTTGAATATTATTGGTTTTTGGTGGTGTTGGTTTTAATATATATGCATCGGGTTTTACGGGTGATTAAGCGGGGAATGACCATGATGATGTATATTTGGTATTTGATTTGGTTTTTTGGTATGTAAATAAAAGAAACAAATGAAACGAAAAACATTTAGTTAGCAACTTTATAAAAATATTGGCAAAAATTTTTATGGCGATTTTTGCATAGATACTTAAGCCTAAATATAGAATTTCTCTTTTTTTTCAATAATGAGTTATGTTTGGAGGTGGAAAATTGTCATTCTTTAAGGGGGTTAAGCAGTGGAAATGTAGAGAAGAAATTTAGAGCTTAAAACTCTTGAGATTAGAGAAAAACTCTTCCCCCACAGAATGACAGTTTTCTAGGATGTTTATGCTATTTATGATCTCTCTACATGCTTTTAGCTTTACTTTTAAACACATTTATATGTACATTTTCCAACGAATAGCGGTCTCTACACACAGTATTATTGTACTTGATCATGCTACATGAGGAATTTAGAGGCTTATGAATAATTTAGTACGAACAGCTACATGCGTTAGTTACACAGAGAGCATAGAGTAGAGGGGGATGCTAGGGCTAGGGCTAGGGCTAGAGATATTCAGTTGAAAAGTCATTGGCCCCAAGGGGAATGATATAGATATTAGATTTATTGTTTAAAATCCAAAATTCAAATCCATCTCATTCGCTGGACCTTTTCAACTAAATTAACACCGATTCTCATGCAATGCATTCGTTATTTTGGCCAACATTGTTGTTGGAATCAGCATTATTAACATGGCTAATAAGATTGTTGTTATTAATATTATTGTTGCTGTTGCTGTTGTTGTTGTTGCTGCTTCTGCTGCTGCTAGTATTACTACAATTATTGTTGTTTAAGCTACTTGAATTATTGAGACTGGAAATCTGATTGGTGAGATTATTAAAGGCCAGCGTGAAGCTACCCTCATCGGCCAAAGTGCCATCACTGCTCTCATGACCATTGCTCAGACCATTACCATTGCCATTGCCCAGAAGATTACTAAGTGATCCCGAGGAGGAGGAGTAATTGGCTCTGCCCTGACCATTGCTAATCAATCGCTGCTGTGGCTTGGCCATCGGTGCCCTTTTCGATGCATTCGTTGCATCTGCAATATGTTGCTGTTCCAACTGCAGATTGCTGTTCTTGCTCTTGCCCTGATCAGGCTGCTGCTGTTGCTGCTGCTGGGGCAGTAGATTCAAACTAGAATCGAAAAGATTCTTCTGCAGCAGCAACTCATGGTAGTAATAGGGCGTGGTCCTATGTTCCACCTGGGCATTGGTCCTCAAACCATAGCGGCCGACTGCAGCTGGTCCTGGCTGCAAGCCCCTGGCCATGTTCGAGTGATTCGATTGATTCACTGCATTCGTACTGCCCCCGTTCAGGTTGGAGTTCAAGAAACTCTGACTCATTAAATTTGGCTGAGAACTATGGTACTGGGAACTGCCACCATCCATGGCCAGGATACCATCATCCAATGGCATGATCGGAGCAGGATCTACTGGCGGTGCCAGGCCATTGGGCATCGAAGAGGCTGGCTTGATAATCGGTACCATAGTATAGGAACGCCGATCTCTCGGCTTTTCAGCCAAACTCTGACTGTGGGCATAACCCACAGGCGGTGGGCGTGGCGGTGGCGGGGTATGTCCCTGATTTTGAACTAGCGCATAGGATTTACTTGGATTCTGGTTGAGATTGAGATTCTGCGAGTAGCGTGGCACTGAGGTCGAGGCTATGGGGCGGCAGCAGGCGAACTTGCATGGCTGGGCGATGTAGGGGGGGAATAACATTTCGGTGGGGGAATCGGGGAACTGTTATTATGATTAATTTGTTTTTATTTTTGTTTTTTACGATTTGTTGACAACAATCATGGGCATGTTTGTAAGAGTGTGTGTGTGTGGTGTGTGTGTTGGTTGGTGTAGTTAAAAAAACGAATAAGAAAAAGTTTCGAAAGTAAAAATTAGAATATTGACCATAACCATTTGTAGAAATTAAAGAGTAAGAGAGGTTTTAAAATTAGTTCAGGGATAAAAAAGTATTATTTAAGTTAGGTTAACTAGGCTGGGAGTATCATCAATTTAAACTAAACTAACTAAAAGTTTACTAAACAAACTGTTTTTTAAGTTGTAAAGAAGACATTCCTTTCTCGAAAGTTGAAGTTGTTGTCTAAAGTTATTAGGTAAATAATGATAGTAACTAGTGTTGATATGCTAATTGACCTCTAAACGTGCTAAAAGATATTTGGTTTTGTTGTTGGGGAAAATGAAAACCAAACTGGTTTTCTAATTATAGTTTCCTGCTGAAGTTCTTTATGGTAAATACTCAAAAGGTTTTCATGTTGAGAAGAGAGAGAGATTTTAAGAGAGATACTTTAAGAGCTTTTCTAGTTAGTTAAACTTCTTAATTGAAAGATCTTTTTTATTTTTGTTCTATATCTTCAATCCTAAAATAAATCCTAAATACCTATCAAAGACTTCAAAAATCTATCTTTTCCCATCACCTTTTTTAAGACAATTAAGACATCATCACGTTAGAGATTACGTAGTTATCAAATGTTGTCACGACATCCACGAGATGCTTTAATTAGACTTAACGACTAACTACTAGTACATAGGACCATACGCAGACAACAACTAGGATGAACTGCAAATCTTGAAGACAGCAAAAAGAAAGACTCACCTTAGACTCGGACATCCACACGGCGCCGCTCTGCTGCAGATCAATCGAATCGCGCAACTTTCGGTACCAGGACTCCTCGTCGCTCAACGCGATCTGGGTGCTAAAGATATGGGACCAGACGCGCTCCAATTTCTGGCACTGCTCCAGCAGCTTCTTGGAGCTCTTATGGGCCGCCTTCGGCAAGCCATGGCGCAGCTGCTTGATCACATGCTTGCTGTCCGTCTTCAGGAAGATCACCACCGGATAGAATTGGGCATAGTTAAGACGATCCACGGCATTCGGTGTGATATCCAACAGGGCATGCTTTCCACGATCCATTACATCTCGGATATTCGAGAGCCTTACGATCCTGCACTTTCCACTCGTCCCAGCCGACTTGTCATCATCCTGGAGAGGAGTTGAGAACTTGTCGGGGAAATCCTTGGCCAAACGCTCGCGTGCCAAGTCGGAAACGGGTCCGAAGAGCACCACGGGTCGGACGAAGCCAGGATGGCGGAGAACAACACGCTCGTAGGCGGGGAATTTGGAAATGCTATCAGAGAAGACCACATCGTCCCAGTTCTCCCGGGACAGACTCTTCGAGCGGCGATGCGTTGAACTGTTAGTTAATAGAAAGTAAGTTAGTATAAGGTTTAGTCAGTTGACCGACTTAACTCACCGTCTTCTGCGGAAGAAGTTACCCCTCGATTCGTTGGCATTCATCTCCTTCTTGGTGGCATTAAACTGAGCAGTGGCCAGTTCCTCGGCCCTCGACTTGTTCGGTATCACCCCGCGTTGCATCTCCTGATGACCCCGACCGATCTTCAGGACCTGCCAGGATCCGACTACACCATTGTGCAGGGTATCGATCACACGGAAAACATCGCCCGCCTTGAAGGCCATCTCGCCTTTGGAAGGATTATCGCAGTGGAAGTGGGTCTTGATGTGGAAGGAGTCGCCGCGTTGGTTGGTCACCACCTCGTCGTACTCCTCCTTGCAGTACTGGACAATCAGATCGATGCGATCCTGCAGGCTCAGCAAAAAGAGAACCGCCTCCTCCCGCGTCACACCATTCATGTCCATATCGTTGACTTTGAGGATCTTATCACCGGGCATTAATCCCTGCAGCGAGGCTGGAGATCCTGGCTGTACAGCAGTCACAAAGATTCCGGCTTCATTGCCGCCGGTCAAGCGAATGCCAACACTGCCCTCCTTCTGGAAGGAAATGAATCTCGGTTCGGCACTCTGACGCTCCTCGTAGAGCTGCCTGCGGGAGCTGTAGAAATCTTCTTGGGCCGCCCCTCCGCTCGATCCCCTTGGTGGTGGTGGACGTGGTGGCTCATCAATGGTGGCACTTCTACCCCGTGTCGGTGTTACGGGTCTGTCCAGTTGCTCCAGTGATACTCCGTCCATTATGGGTCCCCGAGAGCGTCCACGCGGTGTGAGGTTACTCTTCTCATCGTTCAGCCCATTGCCATTTATGTTCGGACCATTGGAGGTGCGAGTGGGAGGTTGCACGTACAGATTCTGTGAGGAGTAACTGGCTCCGCCTGGTAGATAGGGATCCTCTAGGTTGTTGTTACTGCTACTGCATCCGGATACCTGAGGCTGATGACTGGCATATATATTTCCCGCTGCCTGATGGCTTGTGGAATTGTTCAGATTCAGTTGGCTAACAGCAGCCTGGTTGGTAATATCCCTCAGAACCACGAGGTTCAAACGCTCCTTGCATCCGTCGATGATCTTCTTGGCCTCCTTGATACTCATCGTATCCCCACAGTTGGTGTTGTGGATGCGGGTGATGATGTCACCCTCTTGTAGACTATAACCATTGGCATTCAGTTGTTCGCGGGCTTTGGATGAGATCTCCTTGACAAAGAGTCGACAGCCCAGGACCACTCCATAGTCATCTTTCTTTCCACCTTTCGTTAGGGTCACCTTGATGGGCTGACCACTGCTGGCATTCTGCACCAGGGATGAGTTCAGCGAGTTGGGTTGACTTAAACTTGTCATGGGTGTTGGGGCCACTCCACCACTTCCATTGGCCACCAGACCCACCGAACTGAGACTGTGCGAATGCTGATGCTGCACTGCTCCGCCAGGATTAATGGGATTCAGTGGCACACGACGCTTGACCACCAATTGGACTGTGTTGCCACTATCCCGTAACACCTGCACTGCCGTGGCATACTCCACGTTCTCCAGCGAGACACCGTTCACCGATATTATCCGATCGTTAACTCTGCAAAGAAGAAAGACATGGGTTAAGTGTTGGTCTCACAATGTGGATCACTTAGCCTGGGTCTAGTAATTGCCGGGTTGGTCGTAAACCCTGCCCTAATGGCCAAAACGTGACCGAACTACTGGAACACTACAGGTTTCGGTTTATAGGCAGGTCATTAGAAACGACCTTGTCCAGTTTTACACAGTCATTAGACTTGCAGCCATAATTAAGGAACATGTCTTTGGATGGGTATTGCAACTTGGAAGTACCCAGGAGAGTATAAAGTGTAAGTGGAGGGTGTGCAGTGGAAATAAGGTAGAAGGTCACAAACCTTATCATATCAGTTTTTGAATAATTAAAATCGCTATCTTATTGCCCTACATAGAAAGGTTTAACTTTAAATAAATAAGGTTATCAATAAAGACACTCAAAAGCAAGTTGTTTGCTATCAAATGATAGACTTTTTCAATGCCATTACAGGGTACCTCACACACTGTTTCGGATCACTGAATGCAATGCGATCGGGCAGGTAAAGATCAGACTACACAGTCTTAAAACTCTTAGTGAAATCAGGTTAGACTTGGATTGAAGACAAACGCTAATAAACCGGCAATTGTCTGAGTTTTGAGTTCTTCGGCATGACTAGACTGGAAGTAATAGAGCCGAGAATCAAGGCATCTGCTAAGCGGCTTCCGTGGATTTTCTATGGAATACCTTTTGGATGGAATACCATCGGTACTTGGCTTATTTGTCCAGACCCTAACAAATTACGGTTCGTTCTTGGAACTTAGAGTAGAGGCATGAAAAGTAAAAATGTAATAAGTAACTAGCACATGACGAATTAACGACAAGAATGTTATACTTTAATGTGTGTTTGTGTGTGCGGGGCAGACAAAGTAGTTAATGATAGAAATTATATTGCATGTCTGAGGCGAAACATATCCATAATTAAGTTGTCTACGAGTGCAGAAAGAAGCCGCAACCCAAACGGGCCAAATTTAGCCGTGTTTTACTTTCAGTTCCCCCGTTGGAAACCATTGAGTCTGCGAGTCTCTCGAAGCGGCTTAACAATTAAGCCGGCCAAAAATGCGGAAAATGCGGCATGGAATGTTATGAGCCAGGTTGGGAAAATCAACTTATATACTTGGAAAAATGACTTACGCAGATTACGTAAAGAAATTCCCTTTAAAGTGAGAGAAAAATGAAACTTTTCATGCAGAAATTTGTTTTATAAGGAAGTTAAAAAGTATCTTTGCTTATAATATTGTTTTTACTTCAAACTAAATCTAAGTTAATACTAGTTTCCCTCAGTGTATGCTACCTGCTAGGCTGCACAACAGTGAAACTTTGCCCATAATGAACCCACATACTCTCAGAGACATGTGCTGGCTGTTGCGCTGTTGCAGCTAATTTCCACTTGTCTCTCCGCACTCTTGGCAAACATTTTTCCAGCCTTTAGCAGCAGCGGGATTTTCCTTTTGAAATCCTCCGTCAGCAGGTAGGCAAGGAACAACGTGAAAATAGTTCCCTGGTAAATAGTTTCTTGGGAAAAAAGATTATGACAAGTTTGTAATCACCAGCGGAGTCTGGGCTAAGGGCAGCCCAGCGGTCTATTGAAAAACGCTTTGGAATTTTTATTATCGACCACAGAGAGGAGCAGCTTCAGAGAGACCGAAGTTAAGGCTGACGAGGCGTTGGTTTAATTATATATATAAATTCTTTTTTTTTTTTTTTGGGTCTGGCTACGTGAGTTTGAAGTGTGCATTTCGGGTTTTTTTTGAAGGAGTGGGGATTAAATGAGGAAAAAAGTTTCAAGTCCAAGATTAACGATGTCAATTGTCAGGCGGCATGTGGAGAATTTTTAATGTTCATTCTTGAGTTTTGGGCGGAGTCTTAAAAACTACATACATAGTTCTGTGCCAAATAGGAAATGCAGTTTATTTGAGGTGTATTCACTGTACTTTTAATAACCCCTCAAAATGCCTTGAGTTAAAAACTCCTAAACCCAAGGTTCAGTAACTTCTGTTGAGTCATCTTTTGGGGCATTCCATGATACTTACTGCAATCGATCCTCGGCGGGGCCACCTTTCAGCACATCGCTAACTGCTATCGAGGGATCGCCATTGGCAAAGTGCGGATTATCACGTCCACCGGAAACGGCGATTCCGAATCCATAGCCCGGCACTCGAGTCACTGCCACTGTGTGGTACTCCCAAGTGGTGCGATCGCCCTGGAAAAAAATAAGAAACAAAAAAACAATGATTAGATGGTTTCTATAAACCAGAAAACATATATTTTCTTCAGTAATTAAATCTGAAATTTTAGAGAACTTTTTGTGAGTGAAAACATTTCCCTTTCAGCTGTCTTTTTCAATTTATTTCAATATAATTCAATTGGAATTTGTTAAGGATGGCTGCCAGGCGGAAATGCACATGTGACTTCCGTTTTTCCATTCTTATTACATATATATATATATATACATATATATGTGTATGACCTGTTGCCCAGACACAACCATGAACACCCAACCACTTGGACACGATTCAATTTTATGCACTGGAGATTCCAAACAGAAATGCGTAGAAAAGGGCCAACGGTTGGTTAGTTGTAAAAATAATAATAATAATAAAAATAATAGAGGATATTGCAGTTGATGGGACTGTGCACTGGCTGTGACTGAATGGGAGTTTTCCGTTCTTTTTTCTGACTGCGACACACCTGGAACACACACACAAAAGCGGAACTAAACAAACCTGAAAAACGATTTGTTTACGAATGAATTCGGCTTGGAAATGCCATGAATGAAGTTGAATCTAAATAGGAGATATTTCTAGAGGGTAAATCAGTTTGTTTAGCACAAAAGAAATACCAGTTTATGGAAGAGAATGAAAGATGTTTAAGATGAACTAGAAATGTGGATAAAAAAGTATGTAAATTTAGTTTTTAATGGCTAGACAAGAAACTTATTCTTTTTCAACTTAAAAATTTCTGTTTTAATTATGAATAATGACTGGCAAGTTATAGTTCTCATATCATTAACGCTTTATGGCTTATTCATTCTACCTAAAACTAATCTAAATACCCTAAAAATTCTCATTTAAACTTCTTTAACTAAGTAAATCAACTAAATTTAGTTTGCCATTCAACAACTCAATTAAATTAATCGACCTGCACGCATTTCCTCACCCAATTTACCACCTGCAATCACAAAATCATTTTAGTTTGACTTCATTTACCCTCACAGCAGGTGCTGGGCGGAACCAAAAATCCCGAAATTCGACACACACACACACTACCCCCATGAAAACTCAATTGAGAGAGAGATCCAACTCAATCATTACACAAATCCAATATACAATGAAGATAAATCAATTAAAATCAAATCCCATCAAGCAATTTCCCAATCCTGTTTGCATTCAATTCAGCCATGATTCACCCCACAAAAAAACTCGATTCGAAACTGCAATTAATTTCGGATCTGTCGTTCAGCGAGTCGGCCAATCCCCTAAAAACAAAACAAAAAAAATTAAAGCAAAATTTTTGTCTCAGGTGGGCGCCATCAGACAGACGCAACACGACGCATCCAATTACAAAAACTTGGAATAACATTCCATGCGTGGGCTGCTATAAATAATAAACAAAATTAACTAACAAAAATACAAAACTTGTGCAGTCGCGTGGGTCTGAAGTTAATAAATATTTATATAGTTTTATGCCTGCTGCAGGTGTATCTCCCTCTCTTTCTCTCTCTCTATCTATATATATAGTAGATTTGCATTGGACTGACTTTACATCTGCCCAGAAATCTCTTTGGTCATGCTTGGCTTGCAGTTAATAAAAATAAAACCGAGGGAGTTGGAAAACATGAAAGAAGATTTATGAAAACGTTGCTTGATTTTTTTTTTTTTTTGACCGAGTTTGTGCATTTTGGTGGGGGCGGTAAAATTATAATTAACTTAATTGCAAGTGAAATTAGTTGGAAATTTTAATGTGCATGTGTGCAGGCTGCGTTAAAGACTTTCTTTATAGTCAGATATAGTCCGTAATTAATCTTGTCATGTGTTCTTACTTTCTTGATGGTTAAACTAAAGTTTTTCCTATACTAAGTAGCAACCTTCAGCTGCTAAAGCTTAGGCATTCGTTAGATTGTTTATCTAATAGTTAATGGGACTCCACCCTTCTCCGAAGTCATAACTTAAGAGCGAGCAGTTTGATTTATGACCCAGTTACTACAAACTCTTAATGACTTTAATTATAGGGAAACTGAAATGTTTGCCACTGTTTTTGTGCCCCTCGATTTTTGCTTACCACCAACATGTTGTTTGGAACATAATCCGGAAACTTCATTGTGTTTTTTTGCTGTTTTTTTTTTTTTGGTTTCACTTTGCCCGCAAATAGAAATGTCTCTCAAACAATGCACTTTGAGCGAATCAAAGCAATTTAATTTGATTATTTAATTGGTTTCGTTTGGCATGTTTATAGAGAGTGTAATATCACTTTTTGCTTTGCCACATGAATAAACGTAATTGGGGAACTTGAAGTACAAACACACACAAAGATATTTTTTATTTTTTTAATAACAAATAAGAAACGAAAAACAAATAAAATGCAAAACTTGAGGAATTTTTGCGATAATAAAGTCTAAAAAGCTGATGTCACTTTCAATTGTTGTTAACAAACACACACATTGGCTAACTGAATATGTCTATTAAACTGTGGAAAATCCCACAAATTGAGCTAATGATTTATAAATAAACTTTTTCTTATTCAATGCAACTTTACGGCGTTCCAAGTTTTGGTTTCGATTTCAGTTTCGTTCTCAATTTTATTAGAAGTTGAATTTGCATATGCTAATGGCTAATGGCTAGTTGGTTGACTGGCAAGAAATATCTGAACGAAGCGTCATCGCAAGATACTTTACACTCCCATAAAGTTTTTGGTGCAAATTAGCATGTTATATTCAGCAAGACCAAGACATACAAAACTATCTCATAGATACAATGTATATTACTCTTTCACGCTCTCTATAGAGACATTTGCATCGTTTGCAAAAGGTTTCTTGCCGCCGAAAGGCAAAAGCCAATGACCAGCCAACTTTGCGTTGCAAATTTGGAGCGGCGTGCAACAATCGCCTGCATTTGTTGGATGCACCGAAAGTGAAATGTTCACAGCTGCGCTCTGTTGAGCATTTACGGATTGCCTTTTTGGTCTGGGATTGCGGATTTCAGATTGCGGATTGTGGATTGCACTGGGCTACGGTTTCTGGTTGCCGGTTGTTGGTAGATCCTAGAGATTCCCTGTTGCTAAATGGGTTTCCTTTTATGGTTATTACTTTTTGTTCGTTTCTTTAAGGCTTTTATTTGCAATTCAGATATATTTCATCAAAGGAGACGTTTCACAAATTGGTTTTTAGGTTTTATAATCATTATTTAACTCATTTATTTTCTTAAGAACACATAGTTTATAGTCGTTACTAACAATTTAATAGATTATTTATCTTCTAAATTAAAGATTTGCCCCTATCTTGTATCTTTATCTTGACTTCTGACAACATTGCTTTGATATATCTCATAGATATCACTTCTTTTAACTGCATTAACTCATTTAACAGCTAAGAAATATCTTTCTTCAAATGCTATCTTTAAGTTATATCTTTCGATTACAATGCCATCCCGCACTTGATTCAGCTGGGCCAACTTATTAGCATTAACACTTTCGTAATGAGCAAACACAAAACAACAACAACAACAACACAAACACACAGCATATATAGGAAGATAGCTATTCGTATCTCTCGGATACGTCGCGCCGTCGCAGTTGTCCGCTGGCGGCAACCGTTGACGTTGACGGCTTGAAACACGCTTCGAAACTGTTTTTACCTACGATTGTGGACTCGTGAATGTGGATGCCAAACGGCAACGCGATCCAACGCAAAACAAACACAACAAAATAAATACCAAAGTGTGCTGGCATGTGTGCGATACAAAAACAGTCTCTGTAAATGTATTGGTGTGTGGATGGTGTTGGTGGTGGGCATTGAGTTCCACAGGGTTTTTAAATTGAACGGCCGGAAAGGCGAAAACGAAAATGTAAACAAACCGAGAAAGAGAGCGACGGACGACGACACACAGAGATAGAAAATATTTGATAAAATTGTGTATGAAAGAGATTTTCAGATTGGAGTTTCTTTACACAAACTGCGGGCCTCTACAAAGACTTAGGATGTGAGTGTGTGTGTGACTTTGTTTTTGGTGTGGATTCCATTTGTGGATTGAGAAACGAAGGGACTATGATCCGGTCTAATGTCTGCAACTTCTGATGAGGATCAAAGGAGATGTGTGGCACATCAAACAAAGGCAGGAATTTCATCATGAATCGAAAGTAAATGGGGAGAAATATGAAATTTCAATAAGTACACAGAAAGAAATCACTCACCGTAAAAAGCTAAAGCTTCTAACACTTCCTCAATCTCTGCTATAAATCTCCATCTATTTAAAGTTTTTTCTATTGCTTTTCTTTTTGCCACTTGAAAGGCGCTGTAAAGTTGAAAAGTTCACAACTTGAGGCAGGCAACTTCAATTCAATTAACTCTCTTTTTCTCTCTGCCTCTCTCTTTTCGGTCTACAAACCAATCCGAAAGATCTTCTTGCAGGCGGTCAACAATGGCATATTAATTCAATCAAGAGATCGCTTATTAAACGTTTAAAGTGACAAACATGAGACCCCGGAGTGAAAGAGCCACAGAGATCACTCGACGAATGCGACACAAAAAAAGTAACAGAAAACTGAAGTCGCTAGTGGCACAAGAATATTCCGTGAATTAAATTCTAGACATTAAAGTGCAAGCGATGCAGAAATTGTTGCATTCATGAATTTTAAAGACAGCAAAAGTTAAGAGGCAGCTTTTTAAAGAGGGTTTTGGGGGTAGGAGAGGCCTACACATGCAGATAAACATAAAGACAGTGAAGATTCTTTAAGGGAAACAATGGAGAGTATGTTGCAATGCACTATGGCTAGGTTAAAGATTTTAGTCCTTAAGTATATCTGAAATTTCCATCACAAATCATTCACTTTTCCTTACAACTCTCTTTATACAAGTCATACTTATCAAGGCCACACTGTACTTAGTTATTCATACATGTAGATATATAGTAAAGTAATCCACCATCCAGACTGTCAGCAACTGAGACTGCAACTGACAGCAGCAACATCCACCCCCCCACCTCTAGA